ATGTAAAATGGGTGTGTGCGACCATAAATGGTACTTATATTAAGAATATGATCACATGATCAGGGTCAAGGTCACCTGATACACCAGCACCAGTTTAATATCGTATCTTATATATCTCGACTTAAGGTATAAAAATATCGGTATCTCGAGGATCGTATTAACTTAATCAATAAGTAACGTAATCGTTAAAGTTATTAATAAAGTTGTAAATGAAGCTTTCGATAAAGCTTTCGATGAGGTTATATCGTATCGTATATATTAACTGATATATTAAAACATAATTAAATTAACTAATAAGCAAATATCTTTAAATAAGTTAATATGATTAATATAAGGCTTAAATCGTTTAATTAAATCATTTAACTTATATTTAAACTATCGGTTAAAGGTATTAATAAAGTTATCGTAAATTTAACTATTAATTAATATATTATAAGCTTTATAATAGTTATTAATTAAGTTATAATAAGGCATTTTTAATAATAATAATCCTTTTAAAACTAATATTACAGGTTTAAATTATTAAAAATCGTTATTAAATAAGACTTAAACGTTTTAACCTTAAATTAAACTTTATTAAACTTAATATTAAAAACTTTTAAATAATAATAATAAAGGAAAAAAAAATAACTTATATTAAAAATAAATAATATTATGTAAAATGGATGTATACGATTATAAATAATACTTATATTAAAAATATAATCACATGATTAAAGTTAAGGTCATTTAATACATTAACACCAGTTTAATATATATAAAAAAATATATTATAATTAAAAAAATAACATTTTATTTATTAATAATATTTATAATTAAAAAGATTTTTAAATATATGTAATAAAATTATTTAAAAATATAATAAATTAAAAGGTTAATAAATAAAATATATGTTAAATAGTTATTAATATTGTTTAAACATATATAATAACTTAAATATTATTAAAAAGTTTATTTTTTTTTAATATAAGATGCGAAAAGCGCATTTTTTTTATAATTAATGTTTATATAATAAAATGGTTAACGTTTTAATTATTTATAACCGGTGTGGCAATTACGCCACACTTACAGCTGTAAGGCCCGTGCACCGTATAATAATATAATAATTATATTTATTATTAAAATTAATTATAATAATAATTAATTAATTAAATTAATTAATAAAAATATTAAAAAATTAAAAATTAAATTAAAATATATAAATATATATAATTATTAATTACGTTAAAAATTTAATAAAACCGTATTAAAATAAATTACATTATTTTAAAAAATATAATTGTAAATAAATTTATTAAAACTTAATTAACTTTAATAATTATAAAAATTAAATAATTAAAAACGATTAAAACTTTTTTTAAAATTAAAATTAAATTATTAATAATTTAAATAATAAAAAATATTAAAATATTTTAAATTAAATTAACTTATTAATTATATTTAAAAAGATATATTAAATTAATTAATTATATTAAATAATTTAAAAATCTTTAATTTTATATAAAATAACGGTATAATACGCGTTTTTATAATTTCACCTTTATTAATTAAATTATTATAAATATCATTAATTAAACCTTATATATTGCTTATTTAATACGTATTAATTATCTGATAAGACTTTATATTTTTAGCTATTCTCTTGAATTAATCACAGACATGCAAAATTGTTGATTTTATATAGGAAATGGGTGGCCCCAATAAGGGTGGTTTGACACATTGAACAGCCATGACATGTAATGGCTTGTGGTAAGCTGTCTTTAAGGCTTGCTCATGAGGGGATCACAGCGCTAGCGCCGTGTTAAGGACACTGTAACAGTCAGAATATTGTATGAGTGTAATAGTAGTAATCGTATAACTAGGGGAGTATGTTGTAATTATATATCAAATGAGTATATAAATATGGAAGCGTTGATAGCCTTGCAGTTTTCCCCAACATAACTATTGCGAGTAGAGTCCTTGCCGCTCGCAGCTGGTGGGGACAATATAGACAATCGGTCCCCAAGCATATGTCTAAAGAGAGGACAAGAAGAAAGCCAGTATTATGTATAGCTGTAGGCTCCCGTAACTAGTTTAGAGTTCCTCAAAGAACAACAAGGTTGTTTCCTAGCTTCTTGGTTCACCTCATGACAGGGATGGTGTTTGTTTAACCCTATCATGTATGCAATCCCCCTTAAATATCAGCCAAAGACTCCACAATCTCCAAAGTCTTATGGTCATCCAGTGCTGCCGAGTACCGCCTGACCATAGCATCAACACATTCTTTGGCCTGCATCTCATAAGGGCACATTATCCAGCCGATTCCCGCCAAGAATGACTTGCGATATTCTTGCAAGACATCCTTGTCACTTCCTGAGAACGCCGGGGCGCCTAGTTTCTCTAGCGTGGCGAGGTAGTGATCTAAAATTTTATACTCGTGAGTCCTTCTATCCTCGATACTCAAAGCACCACCGATGAAGTAGGCTACGTCGTGAAAAGCCGATCCGATATGAATTATCTGCCAGTCGAGGAACCGAGGTACACCTTTTTCAAGATAAGTGTTTCCAGTATGAGGGTCGCCGTGTAATAAACATCGGAATTTGGGTTTCTCGAGGTGAAGTGTTTCTTTAGAACCTCCGTAATGCGTTTTTGATCTTTGAGGTAGTCATGTACTGCTGGTCGTTCTGGGCTATGCACGACATCGTCAAATGTTTGCATCAGAGTGAGGATAGCTTGATCGTAATCCGACGTGAGCCAGGCGTAGTCCGTTGGCTTAACACCCCAAGTCGATGCGTGCAATGCCGCAAGCTGTTCAACACCAGCAAGCACCCGCGTGACAGGCCATGCCTCTGTAGGTTTTCCAAATTCACATCTTTGAGAAAGGTCGTCCATTATCACGATACCTTGCCTGGAATTATATCCCGCCCACCAAGTTTTGGGGATCTCAATATGGCCGAGGGACGGAGCCACACGATTCAAAAATTCCACCTCACGTTGATATATCATGACGACCCAGGGAACTTGTTCGATAAAGTCTGGGTTAAACCCACCCTTGATGCAGAGATTAGTAGACCTTAGTATCGCCTTATCCGTGCCTAAATTATCCTCGTACTTGACGTTGACGTAGAGCTTAGTAGCGGTACCAGGCAATATCTTTTTCAGCTCTGTCGATTTGACATTAACCTTCAGTACATCCGAAAGCCAGGAGGCTGTGACCTCTTCTGGAACAGTAGGAAGCTGAGATTGAGTAGCCATTTATGCGGGTTGATTCGCATTGGATTTGTCTTTTTTTCTTCTCGTCCTTGTTCTTGGATTCCGATCGTTTCTCTGGTGTTGTTTTAGTTGTGTTGTGTGCTTACCTGTCAGCCTGGTCAGGTGCAAGAAAAAATCTAGGACTTTTGACCAATCAAAACTGTGTATTTTCGAGTTTTGAGTGCATCCCAGATATAATGACGGCATTCAGGTCCCTCCCTACAAGGACCGTTTGTAATAAAATACCTGACAGTAAACGCTAAGTATACGATTCCAAGGACTCGATAAGTCTAATAACATTGCTACAAGAATCTCGTATAAACTATTTGTGGTCAAGGCGACGAGTATAAATATAAAGAACTCGGGGAGTTTAGGGGGTTCAGGGGCTAATTTGAGCAAAAGTACCTAACGAATAGCTTCAAGTAAATAGCCTTGTCGGATTTATTTACTTAAAATTGATCAAGCAGGAAATAACGACTTTTTCTTACTTGTCGTATTTGTTAGAGACGCTACCTATCTTACCTAAGCCGGAAGTACAGTACCTATACTGCCCTGTAGGAGGTAGCAGTCGCCAGAGGAAATATAGAAATTCCGAAATGAGCTTAAGTACCGGGGTACTTACACTTATAGGTAATAAATAAATAAACAACGCCTCCAGGCTTGTGCGACGCAAGCTCACTTCCAAAACAAAGAATTGATATACTTATTTTCAATTTAAACAATGCCTAGTCGGATATTACCTGAATGTTCCGCGGGTTCAACTTCGGTGCTTATCCGAGTGCAACCAGGTGTGGTCTTAAAACATCCTGGCGATAGTATTAATGAGGATTTCGTCGCTAGTATCGCCAGACATTTTGTAGTAGAAGCTCAAATCCTCGAAATACTAGGAGACCACCCCAGAATTGTCAAGTCAGTTCACCGACCTCAGTAAGACCATACATGTAATTAACTATGCGTGGAGATACCTAGGACGGCAAGATAAGCCAGAACTTCCATCAGGATTGCTCTTTGCTGAGGCTAGCCATGCAAATCTTCAAGAATATCTCAATGATAAGAACGACGAAATTCCCCCTACCCTTCGAAGAAAGTGGTGTCGACAAGTAGTCGAATCGATCGCATGCATACACTCTCAAGGGGTGATACACTCTGATCTACGCCCTGAAAATATCCTCGTCCATGCTACTACCCCCACATCTCTCGACATCTATCTTTGTGATTTCGGTGGATCGACGTGTGAGAAACTTGGGTTGGACGGTGGGAATTTACCAGACTCAGGCTTCTTTGACCCCAATTCCGAGTGTGTATCAACACCCGCTACGGATTTATTCAGCGTTGCATCTATACTTTACACAATCCTTACCGGGCATTGGCCATACCGAGCACCTGGAGGACGTTTTGAGTCGATAGAGGCGATGATGGACTACACCAAGCTGGTTGATGGCTTTTTCGGAAAACAGGAATTCCCTGACGTGAGTGAAATCTGGGTAGGGGCTGTTATCCTAAAATGTTGGATGCGCGAATACACCAGTGCCGATGATATTTTGCAAGCTTTAGAATTGGAGATGACAGATGAGATAAGTGAATAAGAGATAGACGAGTAAATAGGTGGATAGGTGGATAGAAAAAATAAGTAGATTCAGCAAACAAGTGAAGCAAACAAGTGAATCAAGTATCCAGTTATTAGATCTTCACATGAGTTTGACGTCTGCCTTAAACTCCAAAGGCCAAATAGGTATTAAGAGTTAACTACCATTCAATATCAATGATCCGAGTTACGTAATCATAATCCATGTCTGATCAGGTAGGTAAGATGTTCATCCTAAGGAGCCATAATGTCACAACGGCACGTGTCAACGTCTCTAGACTAGTCTGCAATCTAAATCCGGGGGTGGAGTAGAGTGGGTAGGTAGGAGCCAAAAGGAGTATAAGCAATGGGTGAATGAGGAGTATCGTAGTCGTTTACTCCAAGTTCTTCCTCGGCAGATTACCATTGACCAATAACGCCGCATAAGGATAAATGCCGAATCAGGGCCCCGAGGTGTGTAATAGCTATCTGTCTATTCGATTCAATACCAACATAATAAGACTCATCATCCCCGACAGGCCCTTAACCCTTGAGAAGGTATGGTTACCTAAGTATTTGCGCCCTTCACCTCACTTGTTGTCTAAATTTGGACCGCTCTTGACCCCTTGCCGGCTTACCTTATCTTCTTCGAGGTACATGCGTATTTACTATTATTGAGATGTTGTTCGACCATTTCCTAGCCGGGCTGAGGACCGGAGATAGAACCAAGATGTTCGGTCAAATTTCTGCGTGGCATTTCGCTATATCGACTTTGGTGATTGGCATCATCACTCTGATAATTGACTATGGCTACATGCTATGGATGAGATTAAAATTGGTCAGTTACTCACATAGCGAGTATCTATACAGTAATAACTAATTCGAGTGGCCGTTAGCCTCCTGGACCTTTTCCTTGGCCGGTTGTAGGCAATACTTTTATGCTCCCGGAGAATAAGCCATGGATTTGGTTTGAAGAGCTATCTAAAAAATATGATGCACCGCTTGTCACGATATGGATTGGACGGTGAGAGAATCCCGCCGCTCGTATATATCTGCGGCTAACTTTCAGGGTAGAAATCCAACTATTTGGATCAACGACGCATGGGCGGCCTCGGAGCTTTTTGAAAAGCGTGCGGGCGTCTACTCATCACGGCCGCGGATGTTGGTCTTTGCAGAATTAGGCGCCGGCCAAGATAACTTGGTCAACATGTATACGATGAGTCCCCAAGAACGTGACCGCTGGCGTGTCCACCGTAAGCTCATGCACCAGGGCGTCGGTATACAGTCGGTCCGTAGGTATCGCCAATTCCAAAATAACGAGAGCTGTGTCGTTGCGTACGACATACTCAAAGCCCCCGACGATTATGTCAAGCACTTCGAACGGTACGCCACGAGTGTAGTCTCCATTATCGCCTTCGGAAGACGTGTCGAAAGCTGGAGCGACCCTATTATCACCGAAGTCATCGCCGTTATGCACCTGGCTGCCGATCTGAATGTCCCTGGCAAGACCTTTCCCATGCTCATGGAGACTTTTCCTTTCCTTGCAAAATTGCCTAATAAAATTGCACCATGGAAGCATGGGTTAGGTAAGAGACGTGGGACTCACTTCTTCCACGCTTTAGCAGACGAGGCAGTTAAAAAGGAAGGTCACGAGGACTCTTTCGTCCACCACCTATTCTCTGAAGGCCCAAAGTATAACCTTAGAGATGCTGAAATTTCCTCCCTAACTGGAAATCTATTTGGTGCCGGGTCCGACACTAGCAGCAGCACACTAATAACATTTGTTCTAGCTTGTTGTGCCTTTCCAGAGGCCCTAGTGCCGGCATGGGAAGAGCTCGATCGTGTAATTGGCTCTCACAGAAGTCCGACTTGGGAAGACGAAGAAAAGCTCCCCTATGTCAAAGCGTTTGTTAAGGAAGTTTTCCGATGGCGGTCGGTTGCCATAATTGGAGGACAACCGCATGCGCCGACGCAGGATGACTACTATAAAGGTTGGCTGATTCCTAAGGGTACCTGGATTCAAGGCAACGTATGGGCGATTCATCATAATGAGCGCGAGTTCCCCGAGCCGGATCGTTTCAACCCGAACCGTTTTCTCCCTGGACATCCAGACAACCGGCCGTTCCCAGGAGAAAGGGGTTATATGACCTTTGGATGGGGTCGCAGGGTTTGCTCGGGGCAAGCACTAGCTGAACAGGGTACTTGGATTACCGTTGCGAGGATACTATGGGGCTTCAACATTCAGAAGAAGAAACGTCCAGATGGCAGTATGGTTAATGTGGACATTTTCAATTACACGTAAGTGCAACAGAAGAGGACAAAAAGTAGAGGGGGACTTGCAATGTATAAAAACTAATAGCATGCATGCAGGAATGGACTTAACATGCGGCCGCAGCCGTTCGAGTGTAGCATCGCGCCACGTAGCGAAGAGATTCGCCAAACGATCGAGCGCGAGGGTAAGCAGGCACTTGAAGAGCTGGAACAATATCGCGGGGAAACCAAGTACCGAATGTCAACATTCTACGCAAGAAACGATGTTGCAATGAAGCTTTACGGGAATGACGAAAAGGCGTCATCGTAGAGAAAAGTAGAAAGTTGTAGATAGAGTCAAGCTTGTTACGTATAAATTGTTGATTTGAATTCCAGTCTTGGTTTGGTGTTTGACAAGATATGTAAATATGACGCGCGAAGTATAAAAAATGGGTACCTAAACTACAAGCATTTGCGAAAACTTGACCTTAAGAGGTGTAATCGATAGGGTCGGCTTGTCGGAGTCAATTTAAGTTGCCGGAGATTGGAAAGCCTCCGCCTCCATGCGTGTGCTGGAAATATAGGTACCTTAGGTAAGTATATTCCCTTTATCCATCTCTCGAAAATATCTAGTCCAAAGTACAACATGCAGATATTGAAGTCCGTAAATGAGGACGCGTATGAGGGCGTCGGCTTGCTCATATTAGGAGCGGGTTGGACTTCAACATTTCTTATTCCGCTCCTAAACCGCGAGCAGATCAAGTATGCAGCTACAACCAGGGACGGCCGGGATGACACAATTCGATTCAAGTTCGATCCTAAATCGAGTGACGCGGGACCGTTCGAGGTGCTACCGGTCGCCAAGACGATATTGATCACATTTCCTCTACAGGGAGAAGGCCAAGCAAAGCATCTAGTACGCATGTATGAATCTACACATCAGAAGCCCGGTCGCTCCAAGCCGCACTTTATACAACTAGGCGCTACAAGTATTTGGACCGCTCCAAAATGGCAAGACGAATCATCACCTTATGAACATGGCGACTCCCGTGCCATCGCCGAAGATGAGTTGATGGCATGTTCCGAGGGCACCGTGCTAAACCTCGCCGGACTATACGGAAATGCCCGTCAGCCACGGGATTGGGTAGACCGCGTAGTGAAGACAAAGTCTGATCTAAAAGGGAAAGGCGCACTGCATGTTATCCATGGTGAGGACGTCGCCAGAGCCGTTGTCGCGCTACACCGAAATTTCACCCCCAAGAAACGGTGGCTGCTGTGTGACATGCATGTCTACGACTGGTGGGATTTAGTACAGGACTGGGCAATCCAAACCTTGCAGAGCGCCGAGGTTGGCGTCGGTCAAGTTGACACACCGATCGCCAAGGTCGAGAGGCAGACGGAACTGCTGAATTGGGTTGGTGAACTCATGGTAGAAGAGGGCGTAAGGGCACTCCCAAGAGATACGTCTTCGCTAGGGAGAACACTGGATGGTAGGGGATTCTGGAAGACAATGGGCATCTGGCCGGTTCAGGGACGAATTAGATAAAGGACGAGCCTCCCTCAAGTCGTACTCGAATCTCCCAGAGACCAACGGCTACGTATTACTATATTAAGGTAAATCCAGATCTATCACATCTACATCGGCTTTAACTCAGCGACTCTTCCTTGTGTATCTCTATGCCTGGCGGTGCGCCTACGAGAGTTTTGCATTGAGCGTAAATAACGAATTGACCAGCAACTAGACCGCACGTCATTATTATTCGAGGACCCAAGCCTGATAGTAATAGTCTCCTAGGACCGAACTCCCTTGCGAGTGTGAACATTCTACTCGTCACACCTTGTTTCGGATCGCCCGCGCCCTTGTTGATAGCTGACAGCAGCGTATCAGCCGGATGAGAGAGAACTGCAGCCGCAACACCAGCCGCAACACCGGAGCTTAGTTCTACCCCTGTGGATTGCAATTGAGTCATTTTGGCTTTTCGCTCGGGTCCCATGCTGCGGTATATGATCTCGACTGCCGCCTCGTGTACGGAAAACTGACCCACGGCGTACGGCACCTGCTTGAACAGCAGCGGTATGAAGCCGGAATAGAATCCTCGTATACCTTCTTCCCTAGCTAGGCGCATGAAGCCAGACGTAAGCCCGGATGCGAAGCCGCGTTGAGAGACGAGGCGGATACGCGTAGCCTCGAGCGGACATAGCGCAATGTCGGCGAAGAACTCTGCTGTCGCGCTGGCACCTAGGTAAATGGCCGTACGCTGTGTTGTTGCTTTCTCCTGGGAGCCTGCCATGTCGATAAACTTCTTTTTGAAGAACTCGTATCCTGCAAACTTGCCACCTCCCTGAACTAGATAACCGACGGCAGTAGGCCCAAAGCCTGTCAGTAAAGCCGAAGGGCCCTCTTTGGCTACTATTTGGCGGGCCGCCCTAACCATGTTGAGTCCATTCATCGAATCGTCCACCTGAATTCTCGTTTTTACTACATCAATGGGGGTTGCGGCCTCGATTCTCGTCAGATACGATCATAACTTCTAGGTAGGTAGGTACTTACCCCATGAGTGAGGGTTGCCGCAAGAGCTCCGGCACCGAAGAATTTGGCATAATCACCCGAGCTGAAGGCGGGAGTTACACTTGAAGAACTCATTTTTAAAACACTGTACTTAAATATGATGAGAAAACTAAGCGGCAGTCACTCAAACCCGATCAGACAGTCTTATACCGTCTCGGTGCGTAGTCGATTACTCAGCGACAGGATGGGGTTGAGACTGCGGGAAAGAACGCGTCAGGTCGCCGTTTTCTAATGAAATCAAATTTATTGAGGGACCCTTCAGCTAAATATGTTCTTACATATAAATAGTGTTTGAAATTAAATTATTACCATAAACCCGAGAATCAATGTTGTGTTGACCTATTCCGGACTGGTCGGACCCTGTGAAAAGCTCTGACGTCATGATTTCGATCAAGGCTCTTCCGATTGAACCCATGCATAAGCCTCTCCCGGCTCGTGCTACTCGGAGACCCAGTAATACGGTACTAAGTAAAGGTTGATGCTATTAATATCACATCAAATTCCGACTAAGCTTTAAATTCCCACGATCAAACTCCCACGATCTTAATAACAATCTCTTCAAGTTGTAAGGCCGCTAGTAGAAATTTGAATAGCCGTAAGAATAGAACTTTTACGCAAAGGACTAGCCGTAGACACCTTGTCCACAGCGGCCTTTGGAAGCCATTCTCATCCTATTTATACATGCTATTTCTCACCTTAGGTATAAATTCCCCTGTAACATGCAATCTTATTGATATAATATAAAATCATGTGGAAACTCATCGTTTCTTTCGCCTCGTTCCTTAGCGAATGCCGGTGATCTCTATTAGACACTTCACAGAAGCCAAGATCCGAGGGCATAAAGGGGAAACTAAGTACGAAAGAAAAGAGAAGAAAAATAATCCTTACTTTGATAACAAGGTGATTGTCTAGGTACCTAAGTACGTGATCAACCGTAACTCAACATATATACCTTCCTACGCCACGTCAATGTCGCGTCTCTGTGCATGCTAGTTTTTATGGATTTTCTCTAACAGGTAGCTACTAATTAAAATTAGGAGCGAATGGATTAGTTGATTCTATACCAGTAGATTAAGAGGTACCTTTAATGAAGGTCAATAGTTACTACGTCTCCTCTTACTCCCATTGCCTCTGTAAAACACCCAGTAGCCTTATATGTATATGCAATCATCACACATCTAATAATAATATATAAATTTATAACAAGAACTTTACACGAACGAATAGAAACATCTATAATTACTACTTGAACATAGTTCATCCGGTGGCGGCTTAACAAAGTATGAAGTAACGGAATATTGGGGAGGGGAATAGTTTTCTTGTCTTAAAGTAAAGTACGAACACTACGAGTTTTTCGCATGACTTCTACAATGACAACCCTGGACCACCTGGCAAATTAATCACCCAAGCAACTTGACAGCGCGTCTACAGCTCAACGGGACCATAGTTACCACTGTTAATGCCACGAGCTGGATACAACACCTGCTTCCTACTGCAATACAAATTTTCAAGCTTTCAACTCCGCGACGCAATCAACCAATATACACAACCTCTATGGTCTCTCAGATAACACCTAAAGATGTGTAGCAAAGACAACACAAAGTCATCTCAGCTTACAGCTACTACCTGTCCCCGCCCGAAAAATGGCCGGACACCTTTGCCAGAGGCACCCAGTGTTCTTCGTAGGCGAGCTGCTATGAAGTAAGTTTATTTCGGCCCTAATACCAATACATAGCTACCTCTTTATCTTCCAAGAGATAGGCTAGATGTGATTCACTGCTATCTTCAATTAAGGTCACTTGCACTTCAGCTAGTGCTTCCTCCAATAAGCTCGTCTTAGTACCACTTGACACAAAGCTTCTTACTTACCCCTTGCAATATTATACGACATATTTCCTAACAAAATCATTTTCTTTCCACAATACTGACATAACACAATCAGCAATATATTTATCACCTCCAAGGATGCCATCCCCAGCCCAATCACACCTAGCCTTGATTCTGAATCAACTGCCAGTCCCAGCCCCGTTGCCTCTAATCATATGGTCAGCCACAGTTCGCAGCCCCCTACCGGTTCCAGAATTTCAACTGCTAGTTCAACATCGGAAGATGAGAGTACGAAACCCTCTGGCTCAGAGGACACAGATACCTTCATGTTTGCTGGCGTAAGGGGACGCGTGATCACTATCAAAGGCGAGGAACGGTTCTTCTGCATCGAATGCAAACGACACTACAGTTACTACAGAAGAAGTGTTGCCACCCATTACAACCATGCTCACGACCCTTCCTCTAGCTTTTCACGTCTGCGGGCTCCCTTACCCGAACTGATTTATTGCTCGGAATACGGTTGCGACTCAACCTTTAATACGAAGCAGGCCATTATCAATCATCATCGCCACGTTCATGGGTATAAAGGGAAGTCGGACCCCATCTTAGCGCTTTACGGCTTCTAAGCTTGTCGACCATTTCCTTTCTCTTCAATACCCGCAAATCGAGTCAGGGCGTCCAACTACTATGAATTTCAGCACCAGAGATGAGAAGAGTTCTACTCGGTGAGAGAGCATCCAGCGTTGGGAAATGGCCATTGTAATACATCCCCAATTCTAACCAATTTCCCGAGGTCAATGGAAGAGATTGTTGCATCGTGGGATAGTTATCATACAATGATAATAGATAGGGGTAAAGCCGGATCTCGCAAATAGAAGAAACTATTGAGCTATAGGCAGCCGGAGGGTTACTATTATTCTCTCTACGCAAAGAACGAGATCATGTATTTTCGATTAGTACGATTGTTAGTTAACCAATTCCATCTGTCTAAACTTATGAAGCTTCGCGATACTTCCGAGCCGAATGACCTTAGTCGGAGCGTAATCGCATTCGATTTCAGGATACATAGGTACCTACCTATCTTAGAAAGATCAAGTATCAACTGACGATAACATAACCCTTCTCATTATATCATTAACATTGTCCCCGTAATGCCTCTCGTTACGCCCTTCATGTAAAAAAAAGTTGGATGCGTGATATTGATATCAGGGCTGAAAATATTTGGGTCTGAAGGCCATTAGGTCTAGATCTAACAATAATACCCCTCATGAAATCCCACACCTTCTTCTCTGGTGCCCGCCATCTCCTTATACGCCCTTCCCATTACACGACCTCTGTATATACGTCTTTAAGGGCTCCGGAATCGCGAGCTACATATAAAATCTTGAATCAAGTGAATATAATTAATAGGTACCTGTTATCCAAGTAGCTATTTAGGTTTCTGATGAACGCAACCTTTCTTACTCAATATCGACAACACAAGAGGTTTATTACACTACGCCAACTTGGAAGATTGAATTTCAACTGGCAACACTAATATGTCTAATAGCGAGCTTCAATTTCGCATCGCAACCCCAGACGATGCGGCGCAGATTCAGCAATTGGTACAGTCTGCATTTCGCGCTGAGGACATTAGAGAAAATTGGACAGGGGATATGACTCTTGCGTCGCAGTTCAGCATCAAAGTCGAGGAGATCATGAGCAACATCACTAAGCCGGACAGCGCATACCTCATGGCTACTGACGAAAATGGCGCCCTAAAGGGCTCTGTGGGGGTTTCTAAACGCGACGCCGACCTTGCTCGCATCTACATGCTTGCGGTTGACCAGCACCACCACCGGGGAGGCATTGGACGCAAGGTCCTGGCTTATGCCGAGGACTACTGTCAACGGAGATGGAGCGTCAACAAACTAGGACTTAACGCCCTTTCTTCCCGCCACGAGCTGATCCTGTGGTACATACGCTGCGGCTATCGGAAGACGGGGGAGTTGACGCAGTTTCCGCGTCAGTGGTTCGTGGGCTTGAATTTGCCGGACAACTTGTGTTTTGTCGAACTGGAAAAGGATTTAGATGCGGGTTCTGCCGCAGTTGAGACAGCATAGGCTACTATTTTTACGAAACTCTATGTTTACACTTCAGGAATAGGGGCTCAGTATGCGTTTAGGGGGTTTGCCAGCTCCCACCGGATGGCCGAAAGATCTATTGATACGTTCTGATAGTTTTATGCCAAAATATTAAGCCTTCCGCTTTTTACTGTTTTTCTGCTCTTAAGTTGTAATCTGAATTTGAATTGGTAGAGGATTGATGATGTGGTTTTTGTTAGCCGTGGGGGTTTAAAGTACCTCCTAGGTATACATAACAATAACACCCACTTTATTACAAGCCAACTCTCCAAGGGGGCCATGTGGTCTCATGTAAGTCTTATAAGTCTTATACAGTTGACCGGGGCAGTGACTATGGTCAACCGTAGTCTTACTTGAAATTCCTGAAGTATCGTCCAAAGTGCTTGGGATAAAAGCTTCAAGCTGTCAAGACTAAACTTTCATTTAATAGTTAGAGTGGTATGGTATATAAGGCTAATATAGACTTGGATATAACCAAAAGACAAACGACATGGAAATGCCGCTGTTGCATGTTCTCTCATCTGTACGCAGCGAGGTATTACCAAATAAATATTCAAGAACAATTACCATTTGCTCTTTTGAACCTGCCCAGCACTCTCTGTTCATTCATATCGTTTTCCACTCCGCAATCAAATCAATTTGTGTTGTCGATCTTCGAATTCAACCGTTCTGCCGTTGTACCCAGACTGTACATACGATATGTACCCCCAGCAACTCAGTGCTAACAATGTACATAATAGCTTCAAAATTCATGGTGTTAAACTGCCAAGGTACCTGCATGTGTGTGCAGGCATAGGTGACGCTAACTTGGAATAGCCTATGAAGAAGGGTGGGAACATGTCGTGATTCGTAAAATGGTTCGCATTCTATTCGCGTTCTATCCGATGCGCCGTCGATTTACTCGAGACTCTATTGCGACTATTAAGCACGTAGATTCGGATAGGCCACGTTCTGAATTGAATAGTACTAAAAGTTTCATAGTAGGTAGACCTTGCTACCTACATCGTATAGATATCGTAAGTCTAAATGACGCGTCCCACATTCGTAGTTCGGTTTTGTACCCTTGAATATTCTTCCCTCATTACGTGTCAATTATACATGTTTCTTTGAGCTTGTCCATGTATACCTACCTTAGGTAAGGAAGCACATTAATACCGCCAGTCATACGTTTTGGTATATCATGCATTTGTCGATCTGTGTACCTTTGATAGGATATTGGACGGCAGAAGAGCGATAAGAATTATTTGGTTGGCGTTCACGACCAACGAATGCATCTTGCGGTTTTGCGCCCACTAGTTAAGCGGGACAGGGATGACGCTGCAGTCCTATTTGATCTTATTAGATTCTTAGCGAAAGCTCAGGGAAAGTTAGTGGAGATATCGGGTGGAACGGCTTAAATTTCTGCGCCATGCTCAACGCCGATTCGCATTGGCGTCTTTACTAACCGTCTATTGGATAAAAGGAACGCTGGGCGGCTTGAAAATGAGGGCCGGACCCGCGAGCATTGAGCTAGAGGAAAACGACACAATCTGGACTGATTGTTTTCAAGTTGATTTCACTGCACAACTGCGTCATCTTCTTTTTCTTTTTTCAGCCGTTGAAGATACACTGACAACTACCTAATGTAGAAAGAAATTGAAGGGAACTACCGTAGGTACATACATTAGGTACTTATAGGTACTTACACATGTATCTGTATATATGAGCTGAGATGCTAAGTCAGGTTGATGCACCTCGGTATAAACGTTAGATACTTCTTTCAATTTGAATGCTTCAGCTACTGTCATATGTACCTTATTAGTGTAGGCATGTAAGAAGAAAGAACCGTACGGCTAGAGGAAGGAATGCATTCGTCCAAGATCGTCGTCGTACTATGTAGTTTTTGGCGTACTTCATCTCCCCGACTCACATTTCTCCATCCCTCAAAGATTCCACAATTCCTATCTACCTAAAAGTAGATTCTTGCCTCTTTGGATTCGTACCACACATACGTATTTGTATTCCCCTCTTACCTTATGTATGTATTCGTCTTCCTTTGGCTTATCTCGTTGTACGGTATCCCGCCCTAGGCTTCGGTTCTTTACATGCAATCTTTCCCGTCCCCAGTAGAATATTCCACTAGGTATCCTTTCTATTGCCTTTTTCTCATTGGAATCCAGAAGAACCCCTAGTTCTCTTCCTATTCTTCCTACTTTTCTCAGCTATGCTGTCCTTACGGTGATAAAGAGAAAAAGGGCTCTCCCATGTTTCCATCCAAGGTCCCCCGCGTTTTTGTCCTCGCCAGCGCCGTGCTTTTGTTCCTCGTCACCTATACGACCCTCCATCTGTATCATCGTGTCCCGCCCTCATATCCAGCGGCGGATCCTCAAATTCTTCCGATCAAAGATGCAATAACCCCAGAGGGGCAGTCAGATGCCAACCATGTCGTAGCAGCAGATATTACTGCTGGCACCTTAACCCCGGCTATCATTACTCCTACGCCGAGTCCTACTAGTAAAGACGAAGAGCCAGCCTGGAAGCTAAAAAATGGCAATGCACTCTCTCAACCGCCAGCTCAGCCCACTATCCTCAGTGATGATACTGCCGCAGGGGACAGATCTGGAGAAGAGGAGCATCAACAACCGCTTCCTGATCCCAAGCTCTGTTCTGAAGAGTTAGAGTTTCTGGTGCGCTCTAGCATCGATCTGGAATTAACCGAGCGCGTGCACTACGTCCGCCGCTACATCAAGCCCATATTTTCCGATACCGTCAACAGAGACGATGTCGTCAACATCACAGAGCCTCTTGTTAAAGGCGAGATAGAAGTCGATCTATATCAATGCGGAAATGTCATAATTCCTCAGTTTGAGCCAATCAAATTAGTTGTCCCGAAGCCTCATCCGAAGACCACGTTTGCTCACCTTATGTTCGGTGTGGCGACAGATTACAAACGTCTCAATGACTCGATCGTCCCTTTCACTCATTGGATTTCTGGTACTGGCGCTAAGCTCGTCGCCGTCGTCACAGATGCTAAAGAGAAATCGCCTGAAGATATAAAGCGACTACAGCGCAGTTTTGAGATAGCTGATGTCGATGTGACTTTGGTGAGGCCTATTAGTGGGGACTTCTCGACATCGCAGAATCATTTTGCTGTCCTAATAAATATGCTCCAACAAGATAGTCCCGATACCCAGTGGTATGGTCTCATAGACGACGATACTTTCTTCCCGAATTTGAAACCTCTCTCGGACAGTCTCGCCACTTTGGATCACAAGACCGATGCTTACGTCGGCGCTCTCTCAGAAGACTTCCAGTCTGTCCGGAGCTTTGGTTTCATGGCGTTCGGCGGCGCTGGTGCGTTCCTATCGGCTCCGCTCGCCAAAAAGCTTAGTGACCAAGCTCTCCGGTGTATCCACGACGCAACTACCAAAGAGGGAGATACTATCCTTCGGGACTGTGTATACTCTAACTCCAAAGCCAAGCTCACTATTCTACCAGGTCTATACCAGCAGGATTTAAGGGACGATGCTAGCGGGTTTTTCGAAGCTGGATTAAAGCCTTTAAATCTTCATCATTGGAAAAGTTGGTATAAGGCACCTGTCGAGAAGATGGCAAAATCTGCCAAGCTTTGTGGAGATTGTTTCTTGCAGCGCTGGCGGTTCGGTAATGATACGGTGTTCTCAAATGGATTTTCTATTGTGAAATACCCAGACGGTGTGGAGTCGGTCAACCTACAATTGATGGAGGGCACGTGGGGTAAAGCTGACAGCAAAGACTTCGACTTTAGCCTTGGTCCGCTCAGGCAACCCTACCCCGCGGATCAGAAGAAGAGCTATAAGCTGAGAGGAGCCGAGTTTACGGAGAGTGGGGATCTAAGGCAGTTGTATGTGCGTGTTGCGGATACTTCTAAGGATGGAGATGACCTCGATCAGGTGATCGAACTGATATGGCAAAGGCTTTAAATAGCAGGCGTTAAGGGAGGCGGCGCATACATGGTATCGGATTAGACGGTTTGCTTTGGCGTACATCTTTGGTCTATATAAGTCTTCAAGTCGGGATGGCGGCATTGCATATATACTTGTATTTGAGTATTATTACCCAATGAGCTCCGCGAGAAATTCAATATTATCTAGTGTTAAAATTAGCACGTATTGAGCTATATATATTTTACTTATGCTGGGAAGAGAAGCCATACGATTCACTAGTGGCTAACTCTTAAGATATCCAACGTATAGAACGCGATTCTTGAGAATCTACCTCGTATTTATATGTGACATGATTAATATTTGCTTTTATTCAGCTTGTTCACGTGGAGCTATATTAGTATGTGCAAATGTGTCAGGGGATAAGTGAGACTAGTATGAATTAGGCATAGATCTACATAGAGCACATATTATATAAGGGGGCGCGAAGCGCCCTCGAAAGAGGATAGAAGGTTAAGCGTTAATAGATTCATACTACTATACGGCTACTATATAGCAGCTTCGCTGCTGCTTCTAACATTCACTCTACGTATGACATCCATCAAGGGGTATCTCTGACAAAATGACATGAATGTTGTAAAGCTAGACAAGTGAATTATTTATATAAAAGTATAAGGTAATTTCATTGTTGCGTAAATGTTGAAAGAGCTTGGGTGAATGGTGTAACACAACGAACAAATTTCTGTTGCTATTCTCGAAGCAAGTTGCAGAAAAATACGTTTGTTGGACTATAGATGTCTTGTTCGCGATGTCTCCAAATCTTTTAATAAACACAGCTGGTTACCTACCTAAATACATAATGTATTAGAATCTTCTTGCACGATCTTCACTACCCAATCGTAAATTTCCAGAGTCTCCCAGACAGTTTATTTTTTAAAGTGCTTAAGCCAAACGAACCCTGGCAAATTCTACTTAACTCGTAAGTACAACATATCCTAAGGATAATCAAGTACTCCCGATGGCTTTCCCATTGGCCAGCCAATATCAACAGCAACCGTGCTGTGCGGCTTCTTGCTCCCATGTAGAGGAGCAAGTGGACCCGTCGTTTCAGCTCCTCATGATCAGTCAATGGTCAAATGATCTAGCAGCACGTCTCCAAGAACTGCAAGGACAGCTTGCTTTCACAACCTCTTCCGTAGATCCACGGTCCCCTCAGTGGCTAGAGTTTCATACCTATCTAGCGCAGCAGTTCGAGCTCATATCTGCAGGTCTTGTAACTCACCACTCATGGTTGGATCATCTTCAGCGAATGCAATGCCAGCAAGCACAACAAGTACAACAAGATCATCAGGATCGGCAGCAACAGGATCGGCAGCAGCAAGATCGTGCAGAGCAAGCGGTAACACTCATTTTCGACCTTCCCCAAACCCAATCTATGTCCAAAGAACAACTGAAAGCGCTAAACGAGAGGCTTGAAATAGCACACGAGAAAAGCAAAAACGAGAGTCGACGTAGAGCTGAATGATTCTATTATGGGTGCCTTATTGGAATAATCTAAATGTCATTTGGCTGGTGAATACTTGGATACTTGTTGGTTAAGAATAAGACAGATGACTCAACATTGCCATATGAATGCATAATAGTAATAACAAGAGCCTTTGGCAGGAGAGTATGCAGCAGAGAACTATATTGTATGCTAGTCAAGCATTAAAACAATAACCGTAACTTAGTAAAGATATTGATTAACAAACTGGCCCTAATAAGCTATGCTTCTGACTTAAACCAGAGTAAACTAGGTTAGACATTACATTTAGAATATATAGAGATAAATGATGATAACTACGTCCCTTATCATTATAGCGGCATCCCACCAATCTAAAACATATGTCACCTATAATTCGTATCTAAAATCGGGATTTTCTTTATCCGTCAAATCGTCGAACGCGTGGGTGTGCTCGATCTTTTCGTCATTGCTCGAGCTGGCTTCCCATTCCCCAGTGACTATCGTAGAAGCACCATGTCGCTTAACTATGTTCCTCCGGACAAGCAACACTCGGAGGAGAATTAAAAACAGGTTAAATAACACATACAGGCAAAAGTGGGCAGTGAATCCTTTCTGGTATCGAGGCGCGTCTGTTTCTTGGAAAATCTACGTGATAATTGTTAGGCACATGTATGCCCGCTCATGCTCAATGAGTTGGGCATTTAGACAATACTAACCTGGGGAGCTGCCATGTTACCGGCGGCCCAACCGATGAAGGTCATGGCTAGAGTCGTGGACTTTTTCGTCTGCCCGGCTACGTTCCGAGAGATCAAGGAAAAGATCATATTACCCTCGGCAAGGTAGAACTGCGTGCAGTAAAAAGCGATCAAGAGCCCAACTTTATTTGTAGGGCTAGGAGGGATCGAATATATGATAGCAGTGCCGATGATAGCCGGACTGTAGAGTTAGTAGCGAGTCTTCAAAGTTCCATACAGATCTTGACTTACAGGGTCCAAAGCTGAGCAGGTTAGCTCGAGGATCTTCCGATTAGGTTAAAGTAAATAGAGAAAAGGGGGTATATGTACTGACATGCATGATGATAGCCGTCTGGTTCGTCCAAGTCGCCAGCCAAGCCCCTCCCACCATGATTACGATGGTTACAGCCCCTTGAGCAATATTGAGAAGTTGCGTTTGAAGATACGAGAATCCAAACGCTGAGATTATTAGGTTGCTAAACACCCCTAGGCCGCCGATAACGAGGGTAGAAGTGACCTGGAGCATAACATAGCACCATATCACCGGATCTTTTATCGTCTCGAGCATCTGGTATCGCTTATACGTTTTGTTTTGGATACCCGTTTCGTTGGCACGTACGCGCTCGATCATCAACCGCTTCTGGTCTTCGTCGAAGCACTTAGCCTTCATGGGACTGTCCGGTAACCACCAGCCGATGAAGACAGCCCAGACACAAGTAGCACATCCAAGTACGAGGAAGAGCAGCTGCCAAGACTTAAGTGAATGACCTTGGAAGTGACTTGCGCCATAGGCAATTAAACCCCCGACCTATTCTCAGTTAGAATCAAGAGCCCGGCTTCAACTAGAATTTGAATGGCGTTACCATAAGTTGGACCCCGGTCATACAGTCTATAGAGAAAATTAGTAAATTCTCATTAAAATAAGTGTCCTAAGGATTGAAATGGAGAAGAGAAGTTTCAGTATTACATACACCAGAGTGAGGTTAATATGGATTGTTCACGTTTAGTATACTGCAAATCGCCCCTTAGCTAAGAGCAACATATCATTGATTGATACGGTTAGTTATATCTTACCCACATAGAAGTCCTATCATACGGTTAACCCTAATCTCACATTGTATCCTGGTCATACTTCCTGACTTACATGATGATGAATGCTGGCTGTACGCATGACTCGAAGATGCCAAGAAGGAAGCGGACGGCCATTAGAGACCCGAAGTTATGCGTCGCAGCTGAGCAAGCAATAACAATACCCCAACAAAATACGTTGGCAGAGAGATATTTTGAGACGGGAAGTCTTTGAAGAAGCAGGTTCGTAGGGTACTCGCCAACGAGAACACCCATATACAAAATTGTTCCTAGCCAACTGAAGAGGAGATGATACTGTAAGTGCATCAACACGACCAGGGTTATATATAGGTAGGTTAGTTCTTACCTATAGTCTTGGCCTTGAAGATTAGCATCTACCTTGATGTTCATAACAGACGCAAAGCCTAGGGTTCCTTTATCCAAAGATTGGCAAAAGTACGTTCCTAGCATGCAAGCTAAGATTCGCTTATTGACCGTCCAAAACAGCTTCTTGTTGGTTTCATCGTCAATATGTGTTCCAGCTGTGCCGGCATATGCCTCAATCTTTTGACTGTAAGCTTTAGTAACCTGCGGATCTAAGGGGAAATTCTGACCTCGCTGTCTCTATCTACATGACTTAGTATGCGGTCATCTTCCGCGGAAGTGATGGCGCTCATGTCGCCCTGCGTTTCAGGTTTGGTCATTTCGTCTCAATGGTGGTAAAGAGCCGCCAGTGTATTACATTGAATGGAGACTGCGCTGAGGAATATCCAGAGACAAGGAGCGATCAAGCAGTGGGCAATTATGTACCCCTTGACCCAGAGCAGAGATTCAGAATCCAGGGTAGGCTAACGCGGAGAATGGGCTGACAAGACCGGGGAATCATGGGAGATCTATTCGTCGTGTTGGTAGGCAATGCCTGGGTAGGTGGCGGGCAGAAGCCCGGGACATAGCCCGGCCTCCGCGTACCACGACAGTGCAAGCATATGCCCCAACGGTTTGGACCTAGATAATAATACTGAGCCAACCAAAATTTCTATTACAGCATGCTAAGTGCCTTGGCGACTCGATTTGCGATTTCAAGTCTCGATTGATTAAGGTTCGGGTATCCCGAATATAGATTTCTCCACGATCAACCCCGTGGGGATACATAAGATGAAGATGAAACTGGCTAGTATATATTATCGGTACGTGTAAGGGAAGGCGAATACTATTAATAAGTGGAAATCGAAGTATCCAACAAGGGTATATAAAATAAAAAAACATGAAAGCCACTCGATATGTTCGCGAAGTGCTATTTGCGAGTCATGTGGACATTTGCTATAGACTATATAAACCCGTCAACCTCCTTGTTGATAATAGAAAACGCGCCATACAAACAAAACGACTTTAAAAGGGTTATGTATGCAAGTAGGATAAATAATAACCCCTTTTAAAGCTTAATATGGCAGTATGGGTTTATAATAAAAACATATATTCACCTATTAGTATATTAGTAACCCTTTAAACAGCAATGTAAATTAAAGGGAATGGTTCCACTAATCCTTGACCTCTCATCTTACCTCTGGTCAATTCAATTTTCTCGTCGTGTTTGATATGCCGAGTACACTACGTATATCTAGTAAAATGATGAGCATACCTTGAATATAATTTGGTACTTTTTCGAGTGTACGAGTAATTCCCCGAAAAAAAAATAGTCAACATGGACGATGACGACGCGAGTCTTTCCGCGGATGGTGAGACACAGCAACGTTCCAAGAGGAGACGCATCTCACGCGACGACGATGTTGAGGGTCCGGCGTAAGCATTACATTGCTAACTGGTAACTATTCGTCTGAATATGGTCTAATGAATCATGAAGCTGCCAGTCCTGCCGGAAAAAGAAAGCAAAATGCTCCCGACAACAACCGTGTTCTGTTTGTGTCAAATATCGTAGGGCTACCCGCGTGCACGGTTTCAAGCGCGTCATCTCGCCTATCTAAATATTAACGCGAACATAGGAACCCAGTGTGTCTACGACGATACACGCTCTAAACCTGGAATGAGAACCGGTGCCATAGAGAATCTAAGCCAGAGAGTTGGTGTGTTACTCGCCCGTCACTCTTTTTTCTGAATCCCTTGTCATCTTATTTCATACAAGCAACGCCCTTCCGGGCTAATTCTTAATAGCGAGTCTCGAGCAGATGTTTCTTGGACAGAGTATGTTATGGCAGCAACTATGGAGTGGCCTAGAAAATAAAGCTAGTGGGCATATCGATTCCCCTTCGAATAGCCTTCGCGATCCTGCTTCTTCATTGAAAGATCACATCGCGCAAGTGAAGTCGAATTTAACGCATATAGCATCTACCGATTCTTTGCAACACAAACCCATATCAAAGGCCTCTAACCAATGGGGAAACCGGTTAACCCGGAGAAGTATAGCAGGCCATGATAGGGCCAAACCCACCGAGTATGATGAGATAGATTTACCTCCGAAGGACTTAGTTGATGCATTAGTTGAAATATACTTCGCGAAGATTCATCCATGGATCCCTATGCTTCATGTCCGGCTGTTCCGCCAGCGTATGGCTGAAGATCAAAAACGATCATGTTTAACGACTATATTCCATGCTATCGTCTCGCTATGCTCCAGATTCTCAGATGATGCCCGCCTTGGAAACGTCGAGGAGAAACTGCGAAATGCTAAGAGAAGTAGACAGACTGTTCTGCTTCGAAGCATGGAGTCTTTCTCGGTGGAGAATTTGCAAGCTCTAATCATATGTGCATTCGATACTCTTGGGAGTGGTCGCGGACCTTCGGCTTGGTCTATAGTCGGCTCTATGACCCGGACTGTCGAACAATTACAACTTAGTGTCGAGGAAGATGATCAGCCTATCGCTACTTCTGCTAAAGCTATGATTAAGAGGATGGCTTTTCTTCCGCCGGCGCGTAATTGGAGCGAGAGAGAAGAGAGGCGTCGAGTCTTTTGGAATATCTTTCAATTGGATCGTTTTTGCAGTATTGCGACTGGTTGGAACTTATCATTAACAAGCGCGGATGTGAAAATGCGTTTACCTTGCGAAGGGGCTCTGTGGGAAGCAGGGGAGCCTCTGGAGACTCCTACACCCTACTTCGGCGTTGCTGATCAGGCTGGTTCTGTTAACGGTATGCTCCCATCGGCAAGAGTAGACGAAGAATCCCAAGAGTCTCTCGGCGGATTTGCTTACTGCATCGAAGCGACGGAAAGCCTTAACCTTGTGACATCGTTCTTCCTACAACAGGTTATCGACATCTCTATGATGCACGAGGTGCAGGTATGGCTGATGAAATTCAAACAGTTAGATCTACGTTTGATCCAGTATGTTTTGCGGCCCTTACGGGTGTTGATCTTTTACCGTGTCAACTAATACCATCTAACAGGTGGAAGCTATACCTGCCTGAGCAGTGGCGGGAAGCCTGCGTTCTAAACCAGGACGGGATCATGGACCCAAATTTGACCCTGGCCCACGTTACGCACAACACCGCAGTAGTCTTGCTTCATCAAAGCATCGCGTACCCTTTACCCGATTGGCAAAATAGCCGTATACGGCTACCCAGTGCTTCAAGTTCCGAAACCTGCTTAGCCGCAGCTACAGAAGTTGCTATTATAACGGAGAAGTTTTTACAAGGTTCTACATCACCAACAAACCCGCAATTTGCCTTTTGTCTATTTATCTGCGGTCGTATGCTTTTAGCCCATGCGTCCTATTACCAAGTACCGTTGCTAAAGGAGTTCGAGTCTCTTGTCGAGAGCCTCTTAAAAATGTCTAATCGTTGGAATCCATGGCGCCCCCAAGAAGGTCCGCGTTTCGTAGAGAATCTGGCGTCCAAATTTGCAATGCGTCTCAGACACGCCCAACGGCAGGGTCCCGGCGCAATCGATATCAGGCAGCCCGCGTACTCAGAGGATGTCAGTCTTCAACAAGAACAAGACGCGCCGGTACCAGTGTCGATTCATACCGACCAACTACTAAACTATCACGCCGATCTTCACAATATACATAGTCCCATGGCTATCCGAAACACTCAGGCAAACACCGTCGGATCCAATAACGATGCTTCCCCTGACAGCATTACATTAGCCTTCCCCCCTCTACCGCTTGCGTTCCAGCCAGACCACCCGAGCAGGGTCCATGCAGAGGTACATTCACCAGCGCTAGCCTCACTACAGACGCATGGTCCTCTCTTACAAGTCGACAATCCTGAAAGTTCTGGAAGAATGCCTTTCGGAAGCTCAGACATGCTTGACTTCGACGATCTAAATGCATATTTACAGCATCCCTTCCTACCTACACAGAGGATAAGCATGTTTTCAGAGCCTATGAATAATGGCGAGCCACCTTAAGGTGTAAACTATAGAAGCGATCCACTAGAATGCTGGGGTAAACCTATCTAAATTTAATCGTGGTAGACTACAAAAAACATGGTATGAAGGGATGACTCCAGCCTACCTTCAGTTCCTCCATACATCACCGACGGGGGAATATCTTCTTCCCTGCGTGACTCCGAACCCTTTAGCTAAAACGAGCTTCTCCCCAAGGCCCATCTCAAGTAGTTTATTTCCCACAAGCAGAAAAAAGTAATCCGCATATACCAAACCGTGGTTCACCCATATGCGCGGAGCAAATTCGTAGTTGTTGATTGTGGCACCGTTCAATATCGTTTCGGCGCCCTTTCCCATGTCAACCGCCATCGTTTTCTGGTCGCCTAAACTTCCTAGCTCAGGTGTCTCGACAAACTCCTCTTGCACAACAAATTTAGCCGGATGGTTAATATGAGAAGCACAAACGGCCTCTATGATTCTCAGCGCGTGCTGGAGATATGCACTCGACCTTCCAGCAGCTGTTTCTATTTCGTGAATCAGCAGCATTCCATAGCTAGCTATCATAGCTGCGCTAGTGTCCGTAGGTTGCGGCTTGTCCCTAGGCGCTTGGAAGTCCCATGGTGGAATAGCAGTTTCAGGTAGGTGCTCTACGAAGTAATCTGCGCAAGCCTTGGATGTTTCGAGAAACGCGCAGTCTTTAGTCCAATGGTATGTCTGCGAAAATCCGACGATTGCCCAAGCCTGGCCGCGAGACCAACAGGAGTCATCGGCGTACCCTTGATTTGTCAATACTGATTTGATAGCACCATTTCCAGGATCGAAGACGACTACGTGCGCAGTTGAATAATCGGCTCGAACATGACAATGCTGGCTTATTTTGGCATGGCTGAGCGCCGCGGCGTACATGGAATTATCCCGCAACTTTGCGGCAGCCCAAAATAGCATATCAAGATTCATCAAGTTATCCTACAGTGAAGTTCCAATGAGCCACGATTCCAGTCTCCATTTCCAAGGTTAGGGAGATTCTATCACTTACTACTATAACCAAGAAATCTTTATCCGGATCCTGAAACGAATATCTCCTGGTGATACACGTATCCCACGATCGAATACATCCTACTACTGGACTGTAACGAGTCATCAAACTTTCTGCCGCTGTAATCACAGTATCGAAACCCTTCACGTCATTCTCGAGCTCCCAAGCCGCCCGGGCCCATGGCACAATCATGAATCCAAGATCGTGTGTGGTCTTCAATTTCGCGTTTTGGTAGAGGCTAGCTGTCCACCATTTGCATGCGAACCTGCTTCGATCAATATTTCATCCACTTCAAAGCGTCTAATCGATACTTACTGCAGCTGGAGTTCATGCAACTCATATTCTGTAGATGATTGGCCTATACGGCGGACCTCGTGTGCATATTTCCGCTGCCGCTCAAGAAGGAGATACAAACACCCAGGGAAGAATCCAGAGGTCCAGAACTCTAGCTCGCGGTAAACATACCCTACGCTTCCGGGTTTGGTATATTCGGGGAACAGGGTTGGTGGTGTTGACTGTGTTAGGTGTCAGCAGTTGGGTCGAAGTCGTTATACTTACTTACCTTTGAAAATGCTCTTTGGGCCACCCCCCAAACCTTTGCGGTCACATTTTCAGAGTATAAATTCTCGAAATGTCGCCCCGCCGAGTTGGTTGGCCTGAGGACGCCCCCGGGGCTCGAAGCTGTTGCACTATGATAGCTCAGAGCTTGCTCATGGCCGTCACAGGCGCTTCGGCTACGTTTCTATGATACAAGACATTAGAAGCGATTACATCTAGAGAGATGTTAGAGAGCTAACTAGTGGTCTACCACCATGGGCAGAGCCGACCCCGTCTTGGTCCATCTCAACGATTGGAACCTCCGATGTGGCTATATCCTCTTCCAAAATTAAACACCGGTCTTTCTTAGTTTAGGCAAAAGATGCAATGAATTGTTGGCGTACCACAATAGTCTCAACCGTCGATAACGGCACACTTCAAGTTAATTGTTAGATTCTACCGCCCAATGAGACCACTAGTCAGTTGCTAGCAATAAATCCCAGCGTGTCCTAATACGTGCGATGAGTATCACATGTCAAAGGGTCTGGGCCGACAAACCGCGCAAGTTTGCGAACTCGCAGTCTTATGATAATCCGAATCCAATCGAGATTTTGGATTATTGCCGGCGCACAGTCCGGTACATAGCCCGAATCTCCAGGTCGGGAGTTAACCCCTTTTTTAATATTGTGGGCCCGGGGAAACATGCGGAGAACCCCATAGGGTTCGTTGCTCATGGAAAAGGGGAATGGGATTACCCCTTAGTATGGAATATGCTACCAGCAAGGCCTCATCTTAGTTTTGACGAGACGAATAATCGACGATTCGCGATACGGCATACTCGCGTCTCGATTATACTAGTAGATGAGATGCGACCTCGCGTGCTCAGGTATTAATTAAATCAGAAACTATGGCTGACCTCATTGCTACTATCTTCATCATTCTATTCTTCCAAAATGTGATGGCCACGGGAGGGTTGAACGGTTTGCCCATTCTGAATGGGATTATTCCGACAGTTCCCGCGTTTCCAGGAATGAAAACTCGAATCGGCCAATTCGTCCACCCTGGCATATGGCATACGCACGATGACTTAGAACGTATGCGGATCGGAGTTGAAGAGGATAAAGAACCCTACGCGTCAGCCTTTATAAAATTTAGTGCAGATATATACTCGGCTTCTAAAGTAAGAATTTCAGCTAAGCCCTCACAACTTCATTCTTCCATCTGATAAGGTATCAAGTATAGTATGCAAGGACCCAAACAAGTCATTTGTCGAGGATCATGCAGCAATTATACAATATTCTCGAACGATGCCCGAGCAGCATGGCAGAATTCTATCATGTGGTACATCACCAGAGATCAGCTCCATTGGGATACAGCTACCGCGATCTTAAACGCTTGGGGGTCAAATCTAACAGACGTGATCGGCACTGATACGTCCCTCCTTGTAGCCTTAGACGGTGATCTATTCGTTAACGCCGCAGAGATTATGAGATGGGAAGGTGGATGGGTTGAAGAGGGTTCCAAGCCTTCGGGGACGTCGGGATTCTCTAATCAGCTCTACTGGTTGTTTGCAAGACAGTCTGTCATAATCGGCCAGGCTAACTATGGGCTAGCTAGCATTAAGGCTCTCTTGTCGTTTGCGGTATACCTTGACGATGTCTCAATGGTGAGTAAAACATGGCACCTCCTTTATTCATTGCGATTAACGTTCGCTTTTGTTTCCCAGTATAACTATGCACTTAATGCATATCAGAATGATTTATGCGCCGGCGTTCTCGGAAATTGGCACACAGAGACTGGACAGGGCGCCGAAACTGGCAGGGATCAAGGTCATGCCATGACAGCGCTCGGTTGGGCTGCCGAAGCCTCTCGAGTGGTTCAGTCCCAGGGATATGATATCTACTCGCTTCATGATAACTTAATCCTCAAGGGGGCGGAATATACTGCCAAATACAACCTATTTTATGAGGTGCCATATGACCCAAAGTTTTACCGGTGCGAAGCAATTCTAGTCAGCGGCCCTTGGAGTATGCCTTCAAATATTAGTCGTGGCGCTGCTAGCGGACCACATGTCTGGGATGTAAGGTTTCTCACATTCCTAGTTCTCTAGTATTTCAAATGCTGACGATATAGATATTCTATTATCAATATGTCATCAAGAGAGGCCTCGACGCGCCATACGTATCAGAAGCCAAGTCATCTCACGATGCAGCTGGTGGTGAACAGGCCGGTTAGTACCAAAACCTCAATAAGCTCGATTCATGCTAACAGTACCTCTGTAGGCAATGGGAAGCTCTCGACTGACCATCCAATGTGGGGTGATCTTATAGTAAGTGGCACAACGATCCCTTTCATTATTTATCTCGCTATTATCAGTTGAAATTCCACGTTTCGTTCATATTATTACAGAAAATAATAATTATTGACTTCACATAGTGGTCATATCCAAGCCGTAAGGATATCTTAAATGATGGCGATCATACTATCTAAGGAGGCAGCAGATGGTAATCACATGAGAAGCGGCTATGTTCCTCGGACAGTGCGATTCGATTGGGGTAACAGGGAGGATTGATATTTTCCAGATTCATATTGAGTCCAATGACCGTTGTTGAATTTATGGTTGTCCCGTGCCCGGCCTGTTCACCAAGGCATTGAGCCGTTATTCCGTAGAAATAAGACGATAAGCTAGGTTCTTATAAAGCGCGTTTATATACTATTTCAACATATTGCCTAGGTATGCATTGACGTTGGTTTCCTAGCAACTTTTACTAATACTGCTTTCAGATGTGTCCCAAACCAGGGGCACCGGCTCTTTTTATACTCATACCCCTATCTCTTAACAAGATATGAGTAAGACCTTCGTCTGATGTACGGCTACATCCTCCAGACGGACATCTTCCGTAAATTTTCCCAAATCCTTTCCGCCCCATACATCTCTGACTTTGACCTCGGTATTATTACAGAATTGATCCAGCCCCGGTAGGTTTTGCAATTTCAAGTCGACGTTTGCCGTCTCCTTACCATAATTGAGAGCGAGCACAACGTATTGATGGCTCAGTGGACCTCCCCAAACCTGTATTGATCCCTCAGTGGATAGATCAGGGATGTAAGTGGCGGCGACACCCAATTCATCTTGGGATATAGCGATGACTTCCTTGTTCAACAAGATCACAAGCGATGATTCTGATATGTTGGTAATATCCGCACCGATAATCAATGGTGATTTAAGAGCAGCCCAAAATGAAAAGTGAGTTTGCTCTTCAAATTCGGTCATGGTGTTCGTGCCAATTTCCAGCATGTCCATATCGGCTATAAACATGCGTTAGCTATGTAGCTTTTCCCAAAGGCTATGCGATCTCTATTATTTCTAGCTTACCCCACGATCCAAGTTTCTGGAAAGGAGAGATCTCTCTCATCTTACGAATCATTGTTAGGACGCTTACGCCTGCATAACCTGTGTTCAGGCAATATGCCGTCTGGCATACACCAGACTTGTCGGATGCAAAGGATGCGTAGATATCTCCTGACATTCGATATGAATCGGCAATCTGGTCGGCCCAGTACCAAGGGAATTGATGGCCCCATTGGCACAGAGCATAGAAGATGTTCCTCCCGGATGTTTTTAACGCCTGGCCCATTTTCTGGAACCTCTCTTGACTGGAGATGGTACCAGCTTGAAAGCCACCGCAATTATCGTATTTCAGATAATCAACCCCCCAAGACGCATAGGTGTACGCGTCGAGCTCCTCATAGCCCCAACTACCCGGGTGAAAGTCGCAATCGTATATGCCGGAATCACTAAAGCCGAAAAGCGATTCGTTAGTTGCGTGGGTGAGTGCTTATGGATGGAAACAGATCTTCGTTAAAACGAACCTACCTATATATACCAAGTTTCAACCCAAGATCATGGACATAATCAGCTACACTTTTGATTCCAGAAGGAAATGTTGACGCATTAGCCTGCTGTTGCCCGTTCTCTGCCCTTGTGTCGGCTTGCCAGCCGGCATCTATCATTACATATTCATAACCGGCCTCCGCCAGACCTAGTTTAACCAGAGCAGCTGCGGTATCCTGAATTAGGCTTTCGTTTATGTTGGCCTTGAATGTATTCCAAGAATTCCATCCTGCTTTCAATGTTAGGACGGCCGGTCAGAAAGTATCAATTAACGGCAATCTGCCTACCCATCTGTGGCTTCGACGCAGCCTCTGCGCCAGCAATAATTAGGGCCTGGAAAAGTAAAGGGATCATGTTAATTACGTCTCGGCGTGATGAGAAGTTGGACGTTATTAGTTCAAGTCAATTAACCTAATACATGGGTCGGGATAGCTGTGATAGATAGGCAATTTACACTTAGCCCATACAGCCACAATATTACCAAAGAACTAGACTCTTCTTCTTCGTTACGTTATAATCTTATGAGTTATTTCTTATAATAAGTTATTGTGTCTGTGTGTCTAGGTTAATGCCAGCGATTCTTGGGATGCATACATACCCCCCGCTCCGGGAACTTACTACCCACCCGGTTCTCGGACAAAACGCCGGAAGTTACCCCGATACAACTCCGTCAGTTATCTTGGCGTATAGGCGCGCTTGAATTGTACGCGCACCAGAAGAGAAAAGCTTCAATTTGCATATCTTTGTGGACTGCTTTTTAGGTAATTTATTCTCCTCGCAGCGCCCAATAATTATTAGTTCTAGATACACAGTTAACTTCAGTCGCGAAAAAGCAATGTACAGTCTTAATATCTTTGTATATTTATTGTTTAACTGTCTAGTGCTCGCTAAAAGCAATGACAGACTTCCCCTATCTTATAGAGCTGCACCTGGAAACTTATATGAGCCACCAAGGCCAGTGGGCTCTATTTCCTTGCTTGAGTATGTGAATTCGAGGAGCGATCTCAATTCCCTTGCACGAATTCTTTCGCAAAGTGCAGGTAAGTCTACCATTTCTTAAGGTTCCAATGCAAGAAGGCCATATCGTTCTAACCTAATAGCAGGCTTCACGCAAGCTTTCAACACTATACCTACATGGAACTTTACATTCTTCGCCCCTTCAGATGCTGCATTCGACCACACCGGAGAATATTTCAATACGTTCGCGGGAACGCCGAAGGGGAAATGGTGGCTCGGGAATCTAGTACAGCATCACTATATCCCAAATTCAAAACTCAAAGTCTCTTCATTTTCCACGAATTACACTCGAGTACAGACAGGAACGTTTCTCTATGTCGGAGCGCAGGTCGTCGACAACAAGCTCGTGCTCAATCGAGCAGCTACTGTGACTGAAGCAGATATCCTCGTGACAAATGTAAGTACCTACCTTATAAGGTGGATTACGACGTGACTAGAGATGCAAAGCAAGACTGATCATGTAAACCAGGGCTTGGTACATATAATCGATCGTATCGTTGACCCTTCAGCCATGATATTTGAAGCGGATATCGAGAAGACGAAGCAGAGCTTTATTGCTGGGAGCTGCTCAAATCCCGATCTGCCGTATTGCTAGGGGGACTTACATCCTTCACTTAGGGGATAAAGTTACTGAGATGTAGGACAAAGATTGATAAAGGTTCTCACGAATGTTGACACAGATAATTTGAGCGGTCTTACCTAAGTCGTCCCATTTGAACTATTAAAATGAAGATACCTAACCAACATATAAGTCGGTAGTTGATGTCTCACGATATATGATGCGGCATGATAGTAGAGTGAGATTAACCTCGTAAGTATAGTCGAAACTGTTAAACACCCAATTTTAGGTAAGTTAACATAGTTATACTACTATTGTGATATGTTAGGGGATGAGTGATGCTTTCGTAAGTAAGCCTTTGAAGATGGGTAGCCAAGGCGTGCTAACTCAGGCCAACATAAACACCAACCGGTTAAATTGGGGTTATTCGGGGAGAACCAAATCTTCTCCGCAATGAGGACGACGCTATACGCTACCGGAGATCTATGAATTTAACCGCGTCGTCAACTAGATTCTAATAATAACGTCTTCACCATGCAGAGGATGCCTAGATACCAGGACCGTGGGTCAATGCTAGATTATCGCAGTCTTAGCCCTAGGGCGCATGTGCAAGAGATTGGTAGAAGGTTTCAATGTCTTCTCTATCTAGGTTCTTGGGCCGGGGATATCTCCACCATGGGATGCTTGGCCGTCTGGCCAATAGCTTTCTATAACAGGGTAAAAAGTATTACGAATTTCCGATTACAGTGCATCTTAGGTAGTATATAATAACGCGAGTTGGCCCTTATGGACGAGTTTCTGTAGTTTATTACGAATTCGGCCTCCTTGTTGCTTCATCGAGTGGGTTCTGATACGATCTGGGTCTCGCTTAGTGCCCAGTTCAAGATGTGGTTCTCTATTACGATATCTTTCCTGGCGGCGACCTCGGTACCCATCGTTGCGGCACAGCTAGATTTATATGCGAAGAAAGCCGGTCTGAAGTACTTCGGTGCAGCGACTGATTCTCCCGGCCAGAGAGAGCGCGCTGGCCTAGAGGCAGCATACCCGCAGTATGATGCAATCATAAGAGACACGAAAGAGTTCGGTCAAACTACGCCGACAAACGGCCAGAAGGTGTGTTATGCCACAAAACAGCTACCATCCATAAGGCACTCGTGCCTATTTCGCTACTGACACATTCTAGTGGCTCTTCACGGAACCAGAGCGAGGCGTATTCAATCTTACGGAGGGTGATATTGTAGCCTCGATCGCTGCGGAAAACGGCCAGTTGTTACGATGCCACACTTTAGTCTGGCATAGCCAGCTCGCGCCGTGGGTTGGAGAGGGAGAATGGACCCCTGAGGAACTACGTTCGATAATTATCAAGCATATCACGCAGGTCATGGGTCGCTACAAAGGCCAGTGCTATGCGTAGGATATGGTCAATAAAGCACTCAACGAGGACAAAACGTATCGCAAATCAGTATTCTACAACGTCCTCGGCGAAGAATTTATCAAGTTAGCGTTCAGCACAGCGGCGGAGATTGATCCTGACGCGAAACTGTATTATAACGATTACAACATGGAGTCACCGGGAGCTAAGAGCGAGGGAGCTACCAGAATTGTCAAGTTGCTACAAGAGGCGGGGATTAGGATCGACGGGGTCGGGATGCAGGCCCATCTTGTGGCGAGTAAGGCACCGACTCTTGCCCAGCAGATTGCCGACATGCAATCGTACGGCGCACTCGGCGTGGAGGTGGCTATAACAGAACTGGATGTTAGAGTCGAGAAACCGGCAAACGAGACCAGCATGGGGTGGCAGGCTGAGGTTTACAAGAATGTACGCGTCTTATTTTTCCTTCTATATGCTTTGCTTCTGCTAACTGTGTTACTTGCTAGTCTGTTGGTGCGTGCGTGCAAGTTAAGTCATGCGTAGGCGTAACGATCTGGGACTTCTACGACCCTTTCAGTTGGGTTCCGGCTATGTTTCCGGGCGAAGGAGCGGCGCTACTTTGGTTTGACGACTTCACGAAGCATCCGGCCTATTATGCGGCTATCGAGGGGATGAACAAGACTGGGAATTATACGTAAGACAAGAAGGCGTGCGATAGAGAGCGAGATGAGTCGCCAACTGTATTAGGATATTCATCCAGCAACTGTGATAGTATTTATGTAATGTGTTGTTATGTGATAATGATCTGCTCTAAGAGTCCTTTGTAGTCGTGATTTTAGCTCTTAATGACGATCATCAATTACCTTTTGTATACGGGGGCATAGAAGATGACTGCATACCTAAATATATAGACCTCTTCGAGTTCTCAAGAACATATAACTGGTGCTATATTTAACTGACTATCGTAAAAATAATACTCGATCTAGGTACCTATAGACTCGTCGTGTCGAATCCCAATATGGATAGATGTTCTAGCACCGGGGGAGTTGGACGTCCGGCGCATATGTTAGGAAGGACATGATGTATACAAATAACTACCTAACCTACTAAATTTCTAACGATGATGTGCTTCTTAGAGAAGCTACAACTCCTCTTAAAGGAAGCGACGCATGTAAAATCACATATATCTTCGTTAGTTGATATAGATCTCCTAATCAAAGTTGTGTTGGTTCAGCTATCGTCCGATCTTGTCTCCTGCGGCTTCTTCTTCCTTTCACCGTATCAACGTCGGTTTTCCACCTAAGATACAATACTCACCACCTACCTCATACCTACATCATAGCTGAAGCAAAAATGCGTCTTCTGAATACGGCAATCTTCTTCCCCACACTAACCACCATGATCATTCCTTTATCCCATACGTTTCCGGTTGGCGTCTTGGTCCGCGAAGCCTTCAGCGCGAGACATCATCGTGTCCCCTTTCGAAATCTCACTCGCCACGGTTGGTATAATATCAGCAGAGAGATTAACGATCCTCAGATATTCTGTCATGCCGAATCCCAGACGCCTATTTATACCAGTAAGTATGCCGCCGTTTGAAATCGAGCCACTGTAGTTTCGGTTTTCCTCCATCTTCGAATTGAACTTACAATGCCCGTTACGTATTTAGCGGGCGATAAAGACTTCGGTGGTCCCGGCGTGCTTATATGGAACCATGATCCGAAAAGTCACGGCGCTGCTAACGGGACCATGTTCTTCTTGTACGAGAGCAATCACGACTTCGTTCCTTACAAGTACACGGTCGTAAGCTCCTTTGAGACAGTCATACCTTTGAATATCCTAAGGAGGGCGGGCACTAATAAGGATCGTGTACTTTCTTCTAGATCCCACCTTGGTCGTCTGTATTCGTTGCTGTATGTCCAAATTTCCGCGGGCGTATTGTGCGGGGAAACATGATGAATTTCGACAGGAAAAAACATCTATTAGGGACATGGGCCGAGATCAACTGGCACGCCAACGGATCTGGGACGGCATGGGGAGACATATCACTGCTTCAGGGCAATAATGGGGCCGCGGTGATCCAGTCTCTCGGCGGGCTTAGCAGGGCGAAAGGGTTCACGACGGACCTCCTATCCGATGCACCAACCAACGTGTTAGCGCAGAAGGCGACGGGTTCGTGGTGTCTCGACAAGATCATAGGGCAGGACGCGAACAACGCGACGAGGGAATGGGAGATGCAGTTTCTAGATCCGTGGAACGTGTATTTGGAGGACGACATCGACCCCGTAATCAATTCGGACAACGGGAGGTTCCAGGTCACATTCTACGAGGGCATCATCTAGACAAGGTGGTTCTTGGCTCTCTTCCATTTCGCCTTCTGTGGTTCGAGGGAATTGCGTATTTCAGGAGGCGCATCGAAAGAGAAAAGGGGAAAAAGATAAGTACCTAGGTAGTTACCTATGTAAGTTAGGTAGGTACCTAGGTACATAACATAGGTATATATGGCCATGTCAGCTGGCATCAGCCGTCCAACTGGTCTGGAAGTTGCAAAGGTAATACGCGGGAAGGAATATGGAACTAGAGTATTACAAAGCTCCCAACTTCTAATAATACCTACCTATGTAACGACTTATTAATTATGATCTCGATACTTTTTTTTTCTGCATGGGTTGCGCTGAGCCAAGAATCTTGGAAGAGCACAGCTCAGAGTCGCATCCCACAACAATCCTGACCCGCCCCCATAAATCCAATTACTTGGGATTTCCCAGCCTTACGTTTAATGCGGTTTGTGCATCGACTTAAGAAAAGTTGTTTGTGCCGAATTTCCGTTTTTTCAATGAGAAGTTCTCACGATCCATCTTGCCAAGACGCTTGAGCCTGAATCACTGAACCATACAGTAGCATTACTACTGTTTTCGTACATATAGCCATACAGCCAAATAGCCCTCGTCCTCGTTTCTTGGTCACCTCGTCATCCGTTCTTATCACCTCTTCGGCGATATCAGAAGACCAGAAACGGAATGGGCCTCTTTTGCTCGTAGTGCCAATATACTTGGCATCGATTACCTCGTCGTCTCATCTTATAGCTATAACTCGTCACCATGAATTAAAGTCGTGTGCCTTTTCTTCGACAAGTAGAGTGAGAGCGCATACATACCTAGACGAACCACCCACTTGGGCTATTCGTGGTGGTCTTGTTCAAGATGGCGTCGCCATCTCGGAAAGTCGTTGTCTTCGCTATCTGGTACGTGCGGTGTTATGTTTCTCGTCCCATCTCTATTGTATAATTATGATTCATCCAAATCCAAATAATTGACGCCCGATAGTATTCTCAGCTCAAGTACCATCTTCGTCTGGTCCCGATATTATAAAAGCGCAGCCTTCGGTACGGCCCGCCGCTCTTCTTGTCTTCTTGTCTTGGCTTGAGGACACCACCTCAAGCTTGCACCTTGTATAAACGCGCATGATGTTAACTTCTATGCGAATTAGAACGACCTTTCCACTTTTCCATCTTGACCTTCATGTTCTCTGGCCTCGCCCTCTCCGCCTATGCTAGATATGCATTGCGCTTCGAGTCGAGTTACGCGCCGCTGACTGACGGAAATGCCTTATCTAAAAGCTTCGCTGGGATACTGAAGTCTTCACTTCGGTTTCGCTTCCTCTCGACATCTTCCGCGCTATTGCTATTCTGCCTCGTTGCCCGCACTATCTTGTATTGGCGGACTATTCGTACTATCCACTGTTCGTGGGACGGACTTCAGGTTTGCGCCTAATCCTACCCCGCAATAAGACATCTAGAATTAATCACTAATCCCTATTGTCAGTCGTTTCTCCCCTTTATCCTCATAATATACGACGTCCTCGAGCTGCGACCTCTATATCTACCGAGATATGGATATGATACGCAGGCGGGAGATTCAGGCGCTTCAGCCTTCGTAAAATATGGCCTGGTTGCGCTGTTCTGGGGCTTGGCTGCTACTGATACCCTCCTCCTTTCTGAGCGCACAACTGGCGCAATATGTCCTGGCGGAACGCACATTGAGCGTTTCATACCTCTTGCTCAGCTAGTCACGCTAGCCTTGGATGCTGTCTTCATATCTCAGGTCGGGAAACTCCGGCAAAGCAACGAGGCACAACTAAAGACGTGGCATTTTCTAGGTACTTTGTTTCTAAGTTCGGCTGCCGTATTGACATTCTTGGCCGTTTGGTCATCAATTGACCGAGCCAATTTTCAATGGAATGTATTTCTCACTTGGCTCGCTGTTGGTGACCTGATTATTGATAGTATAGCTGTGACAATAGCTATAATCTCAGCCGTCTACCTCCTTGGTTACTTTCATACCACACTCGTGAGCCTACTGCTCACAACCACAGGTATCTTCGTGTACATACAATGGAGGATCATGGACGGGACCATGATCAAGGTCTGGTCCAATTGGTGGGGTCTTGTAACGGGCGTTTGGCTGTTTCTCGGGGCCGGTATTTTGTTTCGGTTTAATAAAGCCGTCAATTTTCAGCTACAGTCAACCGGCGAGGGTGTTATCTCTAGGAATCGATATGGCCTTTACGCCCTCTTAGCCTTTTCTCTTGTCTTCTGTCAGACAGTTTTCATGAGCCCCGGTGGGTTCCGACCTACCCCCGGCCCTATCATTGCCAATGCCAGAAGCGAGTCGGATGTTTGGATAGCTGGGGCTAGGAAGAGCAAGTCGCTAAAAGAGGCCGTCTCAGAGTATAGAGAGCGCTATGGTATGCCGCCTCCCCCCGGCTTCGACAAATGGTACATATTTGCAACTTCAGTCAAATCTCCAGTAATCGATACCTTTGACCAGATTCACACTGACCTCCTCCCCTTCTGGGGCACTATACCGTCTATCATTCGTCAGAGGACGACCCACCTACTCGAGCACCCGTCACTCTCTATGGGAGGCATTATCATTGAGGACGGAAAAATTGAAATATCGCCGCATATCCGCGGTACCCATCGGTGGATGATGGATGTTACTAAGGACATGCTCGAACCCTTTGCACAATGGCTCCCAAATATGCAGCTTGCCTTCAATCTCGATGACGAGTGCCGCATATCCGTCCCTCTCGACCGTATGAATGCATATATAGAAGAAGGAGTTAAGGCCAGGGCGAGGCTAAGCGCAAAACAGAAGTTATTGACATTCAGCAAGGACCAGGAACCGCCCTGGTCGAAAGATTACTTACAGGCAGACGAGAATATTTGGGAGGAAAAATCGCCATGGTTCTTGGACAGATCCAAACGACAGATCTTTTACGAATGGATTTCACCAACATGTCCTGCAGACTCTCCGGTGAATAAGTATCGTTGGTGGAATAGAAAAGCAGAATGTCTTAGCTGCTCCGCTCCGCACATGAAGCATGGCTTCGTATCCAATTGGACGTTATCTGGTGACTTGTGCCATCAGCCCGACCTTGCGTATCTGCATGGCATCTTGCTATCGCCATCTGCTATGGCACCTTCGCATACGCTATTCCCCGTCTTCAGCCAGAGCCGGTTGTATAACTTTGCCGATATACTATACCCAAGCCCGTGGAACTTCGGCGAGAAGGTCGAGATCGAGAACAATAAAAGCATACCCTGGAACCAGAAGCTGAACAGCGTATATTGGCGTGGCGCCTCATCTGATGGCTTTGCCATGCATGGTGCCTGGCAAACGTTTTTGCGGGCCAGATTCGTCCAGATGGCCACCAAAGCAAAAATGTCCATCCGGGAGAAGTCTCTCTTCAACCTAATTCACGCCCCAAGACATATTATTTCCGCTCTACGCTCTACCACCTCGTCATCCCCCCCTTCCTTTCAAAACGCACCCGCCGCAGATAATCACCTTATTGCCAATGTCTCATTCGTTGGCGACTTTAATCGCTGCGACGAGCGCGACTGTAATGCCGAGCATATTACCTTCTACGGCTCATCAACGGCTGAGCCACCACCCTCTCTCGACTTCCAGGAGCACTGGCGTCACCGCCATCTCATCGACCTCGACGGTGCTGCCTTCAGTGGCCGCTTCCTACCGTTCCTCAAATCTGCTTCTCTTCCGTATCGTGCAGCCCTCTTCCGCACTTGGTGGGAGGAACGTGTCCATGCTTGGAGACACTTCGTACCATTAGACGTGCGACTTGGCGATCTCTGGGGCGCCGTAAGATACTTGGGCGGACCTGGTCTAGCTGACGCCGACGAAATCGCACAGGCAGGGCGGGACTGGGCGCTCCAGTCCCTTCGGAAGGAAGACATGCAGGTTTACATGTTTCGATTACTACTCGAGTGGGGACGCCTGGTAGATGATCGCAGGGAGGATCTTGGTTTTACTCTCTGAACGAATAGGGAAAGTGATAGGAAAAGAGAAGTTGGCTATGCATAATAATACGGAGATTGTACACATAAACGGATGGATTGGGTCGCTGGTGTTTACTGCTTGCTACTTTTTGGATGTATGATTTTACGCTTGATACCACCACAAGGACGGATGGCTAGAGGAATGTATACGTACCTAATAAATGACATTATATGATTAATAGCCAGGATTATTTCCAGTTCCATACGTCGCAATTTTCACAGAATTGTCGAATTAGTACCTGTTAATCAAGACGGAAAATATCTTGCATAAAGAATTTAAATAAAAAATACCCTAAGCTAGAAAGCCCCGCAGAAAGATCGACAAATAAATTGTTCATCAAATTAATTAGGGTAGCTCCCGTCTCTGGGCAGGATAACGAGGCTATCTAGTTATATTCTCGAATATAAAGATAAAAAAGGGGAGGGAAGAAGAGAAATGTATGTGACGCGTGTAAGTGGGAAACTAACAATTAACTCCCTTTTCTTATGCCCATTTATCACCTTCAAGAGTCTATATTTCCTTCCCCATTTCGTGATTAATTCGTTCCAAAAGTTTTCTTCTGCGAGCCCATCTGCACTAGATCGAGCCGCCTTCAAGTTTTTTCTTACGCCTCCTATGTGCTCCATATTTGCCTTTTCGCCAACGGCAGGCTAATAAGACATAAGAAATGGATCGCGGCAGAGCTATCCTAGCATCTCTTAACAAGTCTAACATATATACAATAGACTTGCTCAATATCAATATACCTTTATGGTATGTAGACAATAATGTTACGGCTAGGCTAAGGCGAGCAGGGAGACATGTAGATAACAATTCAACGACGCCTGTCTGCTCTAAAACTCGTTTAGGACTTTCCGGCGTCTCGAATTTTGGCCATCCACGAATCAACTTTCTCCTGCCGGTCCGGTCTGCTTCTAGTCTCAAGGACCTTCCGGATTTCTGCAGTAGTTTTAGCACTAAGCAGAGATGCCTCTGTATCCAACAGCAAGGCGACGGCTGCACGAACTAGGACGGCATCTCCTTCGAAGACGTACACGTCCCATATCCGAGTACATTCGTCAAGACCAAAGCTGCGTGTAAAGCAAGATGTAAATAAGTCACCCAGATAACTATCGGGTTCGAGGATGAGCTCCTGATTGGTAAGATGTTCGTGGAGTCGCGGCGATTTCGTAGCTAGAGTCTGAAGAAGCAAGTTGAATGTAGATGCCTTGGCTCCTACGTCGGAAGCGTGAAAAGAGAAGGGAAGAGGACGGTTCAGAACATTGGCTAGGGCGATAAAAGCTGCAGCGGGCGTAGGAAGGTTGAGCAAGAGTATTGCCGCAATAGTCTAATTAGCAATGTTAGTACATAAATGTTTAAAATAAGGCCAAAAGAAAGGAAGTGGAATCATAAGACTCACATTGCAACCGGATACATAACCAATATCACTCCGGTACATAGCGTACGCGCGAAGGATATCGATGAGACTCTTGTGTAAGGGAGCACCGGCTTGAAAGATCTTCAGGTCAACCCAAGTATGCTCCTCCACGTCCGATTGAATTTGTGCAAACCAGCCCATCTTGCGTTCATCCTCGGTTTCGGGTTTTCCTTTTGCAGAGCGCTCCTCAACCTCGCGCGCCCTTGCTAAGGCTGCCTGGAACGACGCCTCGGCCAACCCTAGCTGATTTCCTATAGCGCGAGACCACACAGCACCTCGACTTCGGGGTGCTACGCCTTTCCACCATAACTCCCGAGTTCGCTGCTCGCGAATAGCAACGTCCCATCTTTTCAAGACGTCGTCTTCCCACACTTGCATGAGTGCCTTAGCAATATTGTCCTTGTTACGTTCCTTCTCCTTCCTTGCAGCCTCTCGCTTCTTGTCCGCCTCAATACTATTTGCCATCATCCTCTGATATTCTCTGATGTGTTTCTTCTCTTCCGCGGGATCCTTTGGCGGTAGCCAAGACGGTCTTGTTCGCGAGAGAACTGCCTCCTTCTCCTTAGAGATGGGTAGAGGGTCAATCATGATATTAGTTCGCCTCAGAGGAGGTAATTCAGCAAGCGCTGATTTCACCCGCGGTTTTGGCGCCGGACGGACATACGCCGAATTGCAAACGCCATGCTTATCAAGCTCATCTGCATGCTCTTCCAATTTCTCGGTGAGAGCCTTCGCTTCAGGGCTAAGTTCCGAAATAGCAGCAGTCCAACTCTTGGCACGACCCTTGGCCGACGAAGACGCTGACGATCGTAGCGAGTCCGTGGATGGCGAAGAGTCCATCCTCCATGTCGGAGATTTTAGACAACCTTGATGGACCGCAACCGGCGGCGTGCCGTTGCCCACGCTACGAATACGTTCTTTTGTTCGTCTTTCTGGGGAGTTTGAGGTCGACCCTGGACGGCTAGCCGAACGCTCCGTGGGGGGACGAGGCGATAGAGGGACATTATCGAGTATAAGATCGTCGGGGATGTCATCATCGTCGTCGTCGCATTCTTTTTCTAAATCGATTGCCGGTTTTGGTGCCCGGCCCGTCTGCGAGCTACTCCGTCGTAGCTTGGGCACTACTAAACTGTTTTCTCCAGGGCTTAGAGACCGGGCTGAAATATTGGAGCTAGGGCTTCGTCGGCGACGGGGTATGGTCATGGAGGAAGCAGATCGTACCGATAGACCTCGCGCCGGCAATGTGCCTGCTTGGGATTCGAGGCCAATGCCTGCGCTAACATTACGGGTACTAATATCGCGAAACTGCGGGGTCAGTGCAGGGGCTCCGGAACGAGAACCTGAAAAGGACTGAATACTGCGCAACTGCGGTCGCGGACGAGCTAGATCACGAGTTTGAGGATGGATTTTAGGGCCGACATGCTTCACAGACGCACGAAGGTCAGAGGCAAAGGAGATGCTATAAGGATTCGGAGCCGACTTGGCGTGAGTGTCGCGGAAATGGGAATGGTTAATTGAGGTGACATCGTCATCGAGGCCGATCTCTTCGAAATTGGCTACGTCTGCAGTGAGGCCGTCTTCGCCATCGTCTGAGTTAAATGATCGTACAGACGAGGCCCTGGAAGTAATAGCGGACGAAGTCATGCCGGGCGGTGATCCAGGACTCGGAAGTGCGAGGTCAACCCCGTCTAAGTGTCCTCCACTGTAGGTCATGATCGCATGATCGAGCATCGAGTAATCGGCTCAGAATGAAACGGTGCGAAAGAGGTAGTCGATTAAATTACTGGTTTTGATGGTGCCCAAGCGTATGTACACAAAGCGATTGTGTATGCGTCACCAATGTTAGGATACAGAAACGAAGCCGAAGCAGTTTGTCCTCGGTACTGGAGGCGAATGGTCCTGTATTTTGTCGATTTGTTACTTAAGGTCTGTCCGACTTCTAGATAGCGACTCCGGACGAAGGAATCAGAGGCCAGCAGGGTAGACAGGAATAGTAACAGTAAAGACGGAAACTAGAGTTGCCTTGATCGCGTAAGGCGTGCGTAAGGACGAAGTATGATAGTATATCGTGTTTCGAAAAATCCCAAATTCGTTAACTGAATTCGCTGTAAAGGGAAGGCCCCCTGATCTGCAGCGACACTGTTGTGGTAGAAGTGAGATGCAGCTTGTCGATTGTCTCACGATCCTAGCAAGGATGAACCCCTAGATGGCGGCACGGTGTATCGGATATCGGATTATAAAAGCTTGTAAATTATCGAGGTTGCTCCCGTTTGTAGGAGACGAGTATTTATAAATGAATATAATACCCTAATATTTCGAATCGAGGAAAACGAGTGTTGAGTGTTGGTGATGATGGTCGAATGTAATCACCAAAGAGAAAGGTTAACTAGGTAGATGATTATGTCCAAAGTCTATGTGCAATAGTGCTTTCGACGTTCCAGTGCTGGTCAATTAGACTCGTCCGAGAAACATTATAATTCAGCAGAGAAGTCTATATGTGCAGAAGCCTTTAGGTATGTGTAATTAATACCCTTAGTAAGGGTTGAGGCTATAGTACTACTATGCCAACGCTGACACTGGATGTTTGGTTGGGGATGCTCGCAGGCGGTGCGGTGCAAACGAATGATGAAATCGAATATATAGAAATGAGCGAATACATGTAATGATCTGTTGTTTCAATGAGTGGACGAATACCAAGGAATCTCTTCCGATATACTAAATAAGAACAACACGATGTGGCTTCCCCGGGAATAATGAGCGAATCCCCCTGATGCGGTAAGAAAAGAAGTAACAAAGTTGGAATTTGGAAGAAGAAAGGGAAAGTTGTAAGTTGATGATGATGATGCCGTGGGTTGCGCGATAGTAAAGATACCTAACTAGCGCATTGCAACCTGGGAAGCTAGTAGCTTTGGCGCCTTCTGCCAGTTAGGAGGGAGCCTAGGAAAGCGCCGAACACTTCCAATTTGCTACTTGACGCCCCCTCTCCACCACTAAAAGCTTGCCCCTTATGAGCCCCGGCGCGAAGGACAAATTTTGCCGGTGCGAGAGTACAAGGAGAAAAGAAAGGGGTCCATTTATAAGCGATAATCAAGAGGTCAACCAATGAGACTTCAGAATTAAAAGGCCTTGTACCTGCTAGTTAACAAAGTTAACATCCATTCCATTGATCTAATTAAGAGCAGAAGTCTCTGAAACTTGCAGGTATCATCTATGTACCCCCTAATAATTATTCGCATACACCGCTCCTTTACGTACCTAAGTACATTTATTAATGGGAGTGCATTTTCTGTACATATTAGTAGTGCCTTGATCTTACCTATGTACATATAAGTACCTAATGTATTAGATTAAGTACATACTTACATAGTGCACCTGCAATATGTATGTAAACAGTTTAGGGTGGATTTGGTTAGTTAACTACCTACCTATCTTCAAAATAACGGTTCACAACCCAGAATAGATTGAGGGCTTAACTAACGCAATTATTCTTACCTTTTATAGATAACATCCCTCGAACTATTTAATAGTATCAATTGCTTCCTTCACACAATAAGCGGATTTTATCTGTTGCTTATTTTAGCCTGTCTACACACCTAATCTACATCTAGGTAAATGCACGTACCTACTAAGATAAACAAACATGGATGATGGTTCAATATTATGTCTTACCTTGTATGTCTTCGAGCTACATAGGTATTACATAGGTACCTATTGCATGCAGGTACAGCTCCAGCTAAGCCACTTGAAAGAACCTGTTCCAAGGTTGGCGTTTCATCACTTCGGGTCTAGGTACCGCATCTACACATCTCCACAATTAAGCCTCATTTATTAACTTTAAAAGCTCCAACCACGAGCAAACACAGCATGCACAGTTTTACATAGGTAGTTATGAACGGTTCTAGAACTTAAGAGAGGTATTACAAAGTAAATAATGGAGATGTTTGCAAAACCCTGTAACTATATCGTAGTAACTATATTTTTGTACCTTTAGGTATATAATGACATATTACCATTCCTCCAGAAACGAATATAGGAGACGTTCCCATCTTCTCCTGCGCGCGCAGGCCGAAGAAAGCATACAATTTGATGGATGGGTTTCAACTCATGCGCCCCATGCCATTACAGGATCCTCAAAGCATCCTAGCATCCCATCCGATATACCTACTACGGTATGCAGACTCCGCAAAAAAGAGGGAGAGGATTCCACGTGCTTCAATCATACCTAACATATCTCCTAAATCAACGTCTCATCCCAGCTGATCACAACCCCGCGTTAGAGAACAGTTAATGCATACATTACAGCCCAAGTTAGATACATACAAAATACACTAGGAAGTACCCTGCATCCTCACAAATATCAATGGCATATGATGGTCAAAAATAAGACTTATCAAGCCCTTCTAGATGTATCAGTCATCATAGACGCTGTATTTATGCTAGCTGCAGGTTTCATTATATGCCCTTACACAGAACGCCGCTGATTGCCAGTCCTTTTTTATCACACGTCACGGCCCAAGTCCATTTAGGGGACAATCTCCTCGCTCTCTTCAAGTACCTCTTCCACGATCTCCTCGATCACCTGCTCCTCTCCGCTCTCTGCTGATTTGGCTTCAGCCTCCACCAGGTGCTTCGGCAATCCTCGCGCAACCCTCTCCTCTTCAATCTCGGCGTCAACCGACGCACGCCATCCAAGCCATTCGTCAAGCAGGCGTCTTCTGGCTTCCACCACCGCTAAGTCAGCAGACGCTCCACGTTCGGCATCTTCCTGCTCGAAGATCTTGGAGTATTCCCGGAGATTCTTGCGGATCTGCTTCTGCTCGTCCTTGCTAAGCAGAGTCGGCGGCCTGGGACGCCATAACCATTGGCGAAACTTGTCAACAGGTTCTTCCCGTAGTAGCTCGCCCTTAAAATCGTAGAGATGATATCCGTTCTCCATCTATTCCTAATTGTTAGTACTAAAGTTAACCTCTTAAAGGAATATATTAAACATACCGTATGCTTCCAAACAGATGCCCAAGTAGCGACAAAGCGTCCTGAGGGGTCCCATTGGATGTCGGTGACACCGTAGTGGTCTGCCATGTTCATGAGCTGTAGGTTGGCGGTAAGGTCTTTATCACTTTCCGGCTTCTCGCCTTCAAAGTCCAGGTCGAAAAATTCAAGATCTGAACTCTGCTGGTTGGCAACTGTGGCGACAACTACAAAGCGGCCCTTAGGAGACCAATAAATTGCATTGCTATTCTTTTTCTCAAGAGTCCGCAGATGCTTAAAGTTGCCTATGGCCGACCCCTTGGCCTTCTCGGGACAGAAGAATGCCACTGAAGTTTTAGGAGCTACGGCGGTTGGCCCAACCGGCTCCGGCGTCGTGATGATGACAAAGCGGTCTCCCTTGGGCTCCCAGGCGAAGTTAATGACCGTGTCCTTGATTGTGTCGACAACTTCGACCGGCACACCCTTTTCTCTGACACGGAATATCTCCAGAGTAGTGGCCTGTGACTTCTTAGATTTCGAATGTCGGTCAACCTTCACTGAGAGATAGGTAGCATCCGACTGCCAATGGAGCTTAGCATCCGTAACGCTGAAAAGATTCAGTGATCGAACGATCTGTTTTGAAGGTACGCTCATCAGTCCGACCTTGGCAGGGTTGCTACCAATCTCTGGCGTCCAAAAGCAAAACAGCTGTTCATACTGCTTCACACCCTCTCTCTGGGGTGTGGCAGGGGCCCATTCAAAATCCATAACACCTTCAATCTTGATCGTCGTCTTGTCCAACAAATTCATGCGAGGCAGCTCGTACATCGAGATCGAAGAGCCTTGGGTCATTCGTGCCACGTATTTGTCGTCAGCGGACCACTTGAAAGCTGGCCAGGGGAATTTAGGCTGTGGCTTTGCCGACGTAGGATCATTGGTGGTAGGTATGTCGAGATTAGCAAACGAGCGAAGAGGTTTAGAAGTTTCGACATCCCAGATGACATAATTTTTGCCGTCCTCGTCCAATGATAGCTGGGGATGACCTTCATCAGGTATCGAAATAGGTCTATTCGACCATGTGACAATATATTTCTCGTTCGGGGAGAAATCGAGCATGTTGACGAAGGGATGCGCAAACCGCTTTTGCCGGGACCACGAAGCGCCACCCCACAGTTGTACACCCTGTTGGTGAACAGATACCAGGAATGTTCCCAGGGGCGACCACTGCACGAAGCTCTCCGTCCAGTGCTGCCTGTCGACAATGTTCTCGGGGGCCTCCTTCTCGTTATTCCAAAATATACCGACAACATCACCTCGGTACATGGCAAACTGATCGCGACCGCGACCGCTCGGGTCGGCTAAGAATGATCGCAAGTGCTCCTTCTCGGTGAACTCTTCGATCTTAGGAGGTACGTAATTCTCATCGACTCGTCCCTCGCGGCCATACCGATCGATGTCAGACATCTTGTTGACTCTCAGGGTGTGCTTCTTGTCGAGGGGAACCTCGTCGAGCTGCCTCACGGCGGCTGCGGCTTCGGCAGCGGAAGCATATTCGACAAAGGCAAATCTACAAGCATGTTAATACTCGGGCTCTCATCCTCAGCAACAATCCAACGGCTGTTAGTTCTCGGTCTATTTGGCGAAGCATTTTGCGAAGAATGTGATGTGAGATGAAATAGCCGCGTACCTGAGAGACTTGCCGTCCTCCATCGGCATGTAGACCTGTTCCTCTTTCGTCTTTCCAACCTGATTCAGCTTCTTCAGTAGGAATTTTACCAGCTTGGGCTTTTGCTCTTCGGTGACCTCCGGCAGACCATCGATAACAATGAAGGTCTCGTAGCCTTGCTCTAGTTGGACCTCATACTTTTCACGCAGGTCCGAGATGTCGATCTCATCCTCGTCGTAGTCATCCTCGTCGACGTCTGCATCGCGCAGATGATCAAATGACGGCGCCATATTGGTGTCGTATATTGCGTTTTAGGTCAACGTATGCGTATAGAAGAGGTGTTGGTCGGCCCGTGTGGGGTTGCTGGGTGAGAAAAACTGCCCCGCCTTCAAAGTCAAGAGGATGACGGTAGACGAAAATATGAATTCTGGATCGCGGTAGGATTGAGAGATGGGAAACCTAGGCAATATAGTATTGATCCTTTAGCCGCTTAGTAAATGTAAAAGGCGGTGTCGTGATCAGATCCGACACGGTACTCGAGTATCGACTTGGATATTTTATTGGAAGGGAAAAGGGGAAAGGTGAATTAGGTATTTTCTTAGGTTTGTTTTCGCGGCCAATATTTTTTGCAGGTGATTTTTTGAACGTTACCTAGGTCCTAAGGTAAAAAAAAAAAAAAAAAGCCCCAATTGTGTGTGTCCCCACTCTGCCCACCAACTTCTTGTTATCCGCTTATATCTTATCGCTTTATCAGCAGGCTGCCATGCAACCCCACCTTTAGCGCGTAAGGTAAGGTTGTTCTTGAGTTGAGTTTATGGCTGAGTTTATGGCTCCGGCCGTACATTTTATCCTTTCTCCGACCTGACCCTCGAAAAAAGTCTAGGTGCAGCCCGCATTTACATCTGAAGCTCTTGCCAGGCCCGCCATAAGGTTGCAGACTTACAAGATATTTCGAGCTTTGCGGAAAAGCACACCGCAACCCAGCAATAACCCCCTGATAGAATCACCTATAACTATCCTCTCTACAGTGGTGAAGATGGTATGTACTGCTACTCGCATATTTTTGGTCTTTTCCGGCTAACATGGCGTTTCTTCCCTAGTCGTCTTTTAGTCCCACCCAAATCTTCGAAGAGGGTACAACTGAGGAGAAGGGAGAGAATGCTCGTCTAGCCGCCTTCGTCGGTGCCATTGCCGTTGGTGACCTGGTAAAGAGTACCCTGGGTCCAAAGGGAATGGATAAGATATTACAATCAGCGTACGTCTAGATTAAATAGCTATTTCCCTCTTTCGACCTATTTTTCCTTGACTGACCTTGCCAAGATCCACCGCCGAAATCATGGTCACCAATGATGGCGCCACGATCCTAAAGTCTATAGCACTCGATAACGCAGCAGCAAAGGTCCTTGTCAACATATCAAAAGTACAAGATGACGAAGTCGGTGACGGCACTACCTCTGTAGCCGTGTTAGCTGCTGAGCTTCTGCGTGAAGCTGAGAAGCTTGTCGACAAAAAGATTCACCCCCAGACGATCATCGAAGGCTATCGCATAGCAAGCCAGGCGGCTCTACAGGCGTTGGAAGGCTCGGCGGTCGACCACAGCAAGAATCCCGAGGCCTTCAAGAAGGACCTGCTCGCTATTGCACGAACAACCCTCAGTTCTAAGGTGCTCGCCCAAGATAGAGATCTCTTCTCCAAGCTAGCCGTTGAAGCGGTGTTGCGGCTTAAGGGTTCTTCGGACCTTAGCCATATCCAGATCATCAAAAAGGCCGGAGGCAAGCTAAGCGACTCGTACCTAGACGAAGGGTTCATCCTTGACAAGAAGATCGGTGTGAATCAGCCTAAACGGCTAGAGAATGCGAAGATATTAGTCGCCAACACATCTATGGACACAGACAAGGTCAAAATATTCGGCGCGCGTATGAAGGTCAGTTCAACCGGCAAGCTGGCCGAGCTTGAGAAGGCCGAAAAAGACAAGATGAAAGCGAAGGTGGATAGGATCAAGGCACATGGTATCAATTGTTTCATCAATAGACAGTTGATCTACAACTGGCCAGAGCAGCTCTTTACAGACGCTGGTATTATGTCCATCGAGCACGCTGACTTCGACGGCATCGAACGCTTAGCTCTGGTTACCGGTGGCGAGATCACATCGACATTCGACCATCCGGAGCAGGTGAAACTAGGCCACTGCGACCTAATCGAGGAGATCATTATCGGAGAAGACACTCTTATAAAGTTTTCTGGTGTGGCCGCAGGTCAAGCTTGCACTATCGTCCTTCGGGGTGCTACGGAACAGTTGCTAGATGAGGCAGAGCGTTCACTACACGATGCTTTGGCCGTCCTCTCTCAAACTGTCAGGGAGCCGAGGACTACGCTGGGCGGTGGGTGCGCCGAGATGCTTATGGCTAAGGCGGTGGAAGGCGCTGCTACCAGGGTTGAAGGTAAAAAGCAAATGGCTGTATCTTCGTTCGCCATAGCTTTACGGCAGCTCCCCACGATCCTCGCCGACAACGCAGGACTAGACTCTAGTGACCTTGTCGCAAGATTACGGAAAGCCATATATGACGGCATGTCAACGTATGGCCTAGATCTAACGACGCCCGGCGGTGGAATAGCAGATATGCGAGATCTTGGAGTGATTGAGAGTTACAAGTTGAAGAAAGCAGTTGTATCATCGGCAAGTGAAGCCGCAGAAGTAAGTCACTTTCAATCCGTCGTCGTCTTCAGTATGACCTAAATGCTAATATTTTCTAGCTACTTCTAAGAGTGGATAATATAATCCGCGCGGCGCCACGGAGAAGGGAAAGGCATTAGGTAAATGGATGGCACACGCATATAAAGATGTAAAAGTATCATAGACTATGCTATAGACTATGTAAATACCCATCGTGATGAGATACAGCATAGTGCTCCAGACCGCCAGTGGTTCAATAACTAAATACCATGACTTCATTACGTATGGGAGCCACCAAGTTCCAGACGTAGATGTTGTAGTTGTCGTCGAAATAAGTTCCAAGAGACATACTTGTTTTGCGGGTGTGAGTTGGAGTGAGAGTAAGTACCTAATTCCCAACTTGGTTCAACTGTTACATAGGTACGCACAAACTTGTCAAGTATTGTACTTTTGAATTCAAGCGAGGGCTGATGGGCTTGACATACATACAACATCAAGCCAATTGCTTTTTCCTGTTCTCTTTAATCCCGCACAGTGTAACTCAACAGGAGCTGGACACGAGGTACTGAGTACCTACCTACATGTAGTAAGAGAAAAAACATTTTATACCATATAAGAAATGCTTGCTTGAGCTGTGATCGAAAAGAGACATTATAAAGTTATGAAGATCTCTTTTTTCAGCTATATTACGCTTAAGCATTAAAAATATCACATATGAGCTGTCATTTTGCATGAAACAAGTATGTACCTAAGCTACATGGTAAAGGAATAACCCATGCATACGATGTACATACATACATAATCATTCGTAAATGTGTAAGAGTTTATTATTATCATCACTTATACAATGGTACCGGGAGCGTGGAAGCTTAATTTTTTTTCTTATTTATTACTATTACCTGAGAGTTATAACTAAAGGATATAAATTATTGTTGCGCCAAGTACTTAAGTCTATAGCTTACGGACACGTATGCCCTTACTAAAAGATTTGTATATTTACAATGCATATTGTATACATGTAATCCAAGCGTCTTTTATCGCATATTCCCAGTTTCAGCCAATTTCGTTTCTAATACTCCAGTCACTTCTCACAATGCGTATATTGTCATTGAGTTATTCAAACCTTGCATAGAGGAAATGAAATTTGTTAGGGCTGTTACTCGGGAAACTTGGCTGACTAGACGAGCATCACAACTTGCTTTTCATCATGTACAACCTCGTACCGCATCCCTGACTATTGATATCTCGACTGTAAGCGATGAAATCTGAAAAACTAAGATCAAGCATTTAGCACACGTTAAGATTTAGCAAATGGTACCCAAGTTTAATCAACGATAGGAATCTCATCCTTCCTGCACTTATGTTTTTTCTAGATATTCTTTCTGCTGTCAAGGTTTTCTTTCCAACGGAACTTTGTAAAACAAGCACGAAGGACATTCACAATATCTTGATCAAGAGTTCTACAAGAGTGTATGAATGAGTGTATACGACAACAGGCAAGACGCTCCTCGTCAACTTATAATATTAAGTGTAACTTACTGACATGCTAATGTAACATGTAGACAAATCTCTCGGGACTACACAACCATCTTCAAACCCAAAGATAGCGCCTCCTCATAGCCCTCTTCAAACCTCCATTACACGCCAAATAATGGCCGGGTCCGAAGTATCTGGTATCTCCAAGCAACTCTCACAGTTTGAGAGGATAGAACTACTCAAGATCAGCTATCGACATAGGTCAAGGTTCCTTCATTGTCCAACTACGGGGAAGGATCCCGAGAAAGATGTCTGGACGTCAATAATGGAAGAGTTTTCTTCCACCGTCCGTGCGGGCGTATTTAATAAATACGCCCAAGTGAAGAAAGCCACTAATATGATCTGCAAGAATCGACGCAAACAAACCAAAGGCACCACGCCACCGCAAAGACGGTCTCGGATGGTTCACGGTGACAAGTGGATCGACAACTGGGTGTGTGTTTGGAGGTGTCGTGATTTGATAATCAAAACCGCCAAGGTTGATCAAGCAATACGAGAAGTGATGGGAGAGAAGAAGATTAAGAAGATGTTTTGCGATAGAATAGCCGGTACCGAACTACCCCAAGAGACTGGTGAGCTGACTTTTTCGGCTCCGATTTGGAAAGGCATTCAGAAGGAGATTCGCGATATAGAACGATCTTCGAGAGGCCGTCACTTCTCTTTGTATTCTAGCGAGGACGAGTCGGATTTCACAGACGATGATGGGACAGAGGATGATGCAGTTGTTGGTTTAAGGGCTAAAGAAACACTGCTACAGTCGATTGAGGCGGATGTCCAAAGTGATGTACCTTCGGCGCCAGAAGATCTGCCATCAGCACAACCTAATCAGAGAGTTTCAGGAGGAGTCAACTCTCCAGATCTTTCTCCAGCTATACAGGAAAGGCTTAAGGAGCTGGAAAAGGGATTCATCAACGTACTTAAAGCAAATAGGACTGCGACAGGCGAGAAGATGTCCGTCCTCGGATTAGCCCAGCGAAGTTCTAACCAGCAGAGGATATCTTCACCAGAAGCACTCTCGCACCTACAAGGGGCTCTTGTTCATAGACCTCCGAAGCTACCATTAAAGAGTAAGTAAAGAGACCTTCAAATTTATATGCAAGATCAAATTTTAACAAAGCCCAAGACAAGAAAAACGAACAATTAACCACCATTCTTGCTATTAAGACACCAAGATCGGAGCAAGGACGAAGTGGTAACGATGATACTTACAATAGTATCAGTCTGAGTTTTGCCCCGTCACAACATCTTAAACCGGGTACTTATTCTGCAGGCGAGAGCGTTTTAGTCGGTTGGCACGCTCGTCAAATACCTTTAACAGGTATGAACGTTACAGCCGAGCAGGACTTCCGGCAGACCGTATTTGCTACAATAAGCACTGCTGGTATAATCAACTTCCGGCTGCGCAGCCAAAACATACAAGGGCAAACAGTGCCATCGAATTTCCGCCTCGGGAAGACTGTTTCCGTCTCTCGTAAAGATGTTATATACCATCCTGCGTTTGATGGCATGTCCTACGAAGAAGTACAGCTGGAGGTAGCTCGCCAAAGCCTCCTTAGTGTTGATCAACGCACCGTCAGCCACCAGGTACCACCGACGCTAATAACTGAAATCACTGGTGAAAACAGTAGGAAAGACATCATGGCCAGCGAGCATGAGGTAAGAGAAGAAAGACCAGAAACGTTTGCGCGTAGCTCCGCGCGAGAAGATGGGCGAGGTTGTACACCGCTTAAGACCAATAAAGAGAAATCTTCTGTAAGGCACTCTTAAGAGAATGGAACGGGCTAGTTTAACCAGCTAACACTTAAGTTTCAGGCGTCAACCTTAAAGAGGCCCGGTACGCCGAAAGTATTAAGGAAGTTCCTCGACGATGAGGCCAAGAAGCGACAGAAGCCTTTGGCACCAGTAAAAATTCCATACATCAGCACACCACCGAGAAAACCTAGTCCTAAATCGAAGAAACCTTCTAGGTGTAACAGGATTACACCATGGAGGTTTTATGGCAAAAAGCCCCCTGAGCGTGTTCCTGCCGCAGAAGAACATGAACCAAATCAGAAGCAGAATTCCGAATATCGACTACCGATATTCTCTCAAAGTTCAACCGACTTCTCTGGGAAACCTCAGCACAAACTCAGAGATCGACGGACCGCCGGGCCTTGCCACGGCAGTGATGCGGCATCGTGTGACACAATGCCGTTCAAGTATAGCTCTCCGACAATTGCTCGGCCACACAGGTATGATAGTTCTGACGACGAGAGCTTGCCTGACGTGGAAGAATTGTATAGAAGGAGACTTGCGAACAAGATTAAGTCCTCTAGCGACGCATCTACTTCTCACGAGCTCCACATACTTCGCCAGATTCCTGTTGACACTGGAGTCACGCACAAAACTGATGCTTCGCAAGTGTATTCAGACCCTCAAAACTCCGGTCATGCTCAAGCGCAAACAGATATACATGCATGCCACTCAGAGGATCTTGCTGGACCGAAAAGGGGTTTAAATGATGATACCCAGAACATACAGGCCCAAGGAGTTACCAATATGCTATTCAGCTCGAAATCAAAGAAGCGTTCAAGACATGGGTCTAAGTCTAGATCTGGTAGCTTAGAAGTCGATTTTATTGGGGGTATCGCTTTGCCAGAGTCCCAAGTGACTACTTCACCTTGCGACACTCGCTCGGCGAAGAGACGGAAAGGACCAGGACACGCACGCAAGACGCACAACATGGCCGACCAGAGTAAATTAGGACTCGGTTTGCGTTTAAGTACAGCTTTCACTCCTCGAGAAAATGCTGCAAATGACACAGCACTTGGATCTTCAAATGTCAGCCCCGCGGGGAAAAGCAAGAACGAGGCCAATCCACTCCATATACAAGATGATCACCATACCTTAGCTTCTAAGCTACCGAACGAGGATAGCCATACACCCAAACTACCTACCCCTTTCGTACCTCCCGCCACACCCCGGGAGGCAAAGCGTAGGCGCAGGGGAAGAAAGAGACGGAGAAAGAGCAGGTACGAACAGAGACAGCAACCGGATTGTCCTCAGGGAAAACACATGGGTAATAGACAAGAGCCTTACGAGTTCGACCGTTACAACCAATCTAAACGTGGTGTCAAAAGGACAACAAGAGAGAAGACGACGGACACGGTGGATTTTGGCAAGTTTAACGACGACAATAAGTTGGATACTTTATGGCGCAAGTTGTCACGAATGGAAGATATTGTTAAAAAAATAAAGAAAAAAGATTGACTTCATAGTTCGGTTAATGTCATTTATTATTAAATTTAAAAGTAATTAATAAATTAAATAAATAAGTGAAAATATATATATATAAAAGTAAATTTAATATTAAATTATATATTTTTTAAATTAAATATGTCAAAATATAAAAAATAATTAATTATGTAATTTAATCACGTGTTACCACGTGCGTAAGGTTAAGTTTAAAAAGGTTTATTTTTTATATAAAATTAACGATTTTACATATTTATATTTATTTTAAAAAAAATAAATAAAAATATACGGTTTTTAATTTTAAATAAAATATTATATCTTTATTATATATAAAAATAAAAAAAATTTAAAGCTAATATTTATAATGAAATAAATATAAAAATATATATTAATAATTATATATATAAATTTATAAATAAAATTATTAAAAGATATTATTACTTATAATTTTACCAATTAATATATTATAAATATAAAATTTATATCGTTAAATAAGTAATATTTTAATATAACTTTTTGTCAGATTAGTCAGCCATGTCAGGTGACCTGAAAATCCCTAGTCTCATGTAAAATAGCGGTGTAACACGCGTTCCCACGATTTTACCTCAATCAATTAAATCATGATGAATATTATCAATTAAACCTCATATAACGCTTATTTAATACGTATTAGTTGTGTGACACTTTTAAAGTTAAAATTAAATATACAACTTATTTATTTAAAAAGTTATAAACGTTTATAAAGTTTTATAATAATTTAATAAAGTTTTTATATAAAATTAAATAATTATCGTATATAATAAATAATAACATTTTATAATATTATAAATTATTTTTTAATTAAATAAATAATTTAATAATTAAAAGTTTTATATATTCGATTTTCATTTAACGTTAAAAAAACCGTGTTAAATTTTAATTTTTATTAATTAATATATTATTTAAAATATTTTACGTTCGAGTTAAATAACGAGTATTTAAAAATATTTTAAACATAAAAATGTTAATTTTCGTTACTTTATTAAAACTTAAAAAAATATATTATATATAATAAGTAATAACATTTTATAACATTATAAATTACTTTTTAAATAAATAAATAAGTTATATATTTTATATTTAATTTAAAAATTATATTAAAACGGTTTTTATTTAATAATATTAATTTTATATATAAATTTATATATATAATTATTAATATATATTTTTATATTTATTTCATTATAAATATTAGCTTTAAATTCTTTTTTATTTTTATATATAATAAAAATATAATATTTTATTTAAAATCAAAAACCGTATATTTTTATTTATTTTTTTTAAAATAAATATAAATATGTAAAATCGTTAATTTTATATAAAAAATAAATGGCTTTTATTAAAGTGGCTTTAATAAAAGTACTTCGATTTATAAGTTAATAATAAATAATAATAAATTATAATAATTTCATTTTAATACCGTATGTTTTTTTTAACGTATGTTTATTAATATATATTTAATCTTTATTTAATCATTTACTTTTATTTAATTTTTAATATTAATTAATAGTTAAAAGATTATAAATTAATAAAGAAAAAAAATAAAAACGGTATTAAGTTTTTTATATTTTTAAAAAAAACTAAAAAAATTATATAACATATAATTTTTAACGAAAAAAAATAAAGAACTTTTATTTAAATATTATATTACTTTAAAACTTTAAAATTATTAAATAAAAGTTAATATCTCTTATAAAGTATAACATATTACTTCAACGTTTAAATCTTTATAAAAAGCTTTAAATAATTAATAATAACATTGTATTTTAAAAGAATTATAAAGATTTATTAATTAAATAAAATATATAAAATAAATGCGTTAAATAAAGTTATAAATAATAAATATAAAAAGGTAATAAATATATTTATATTAAATGTATAATTAAATAATGATGATTATAGTTATTTAATTAAAAGAATACGATAAATATTAAACTTTTATATGGTTTATAATTTAAAATTACATAATAATACCTTTGTTTTTAACAATGTAACATTACATTAATTTATTATTAATTAAATTAAAAGGTTTATATTTATTATATAATTAATGGTTATATGATAACTTATAAAAACCTTTGTTTTTATCATTAAAAAAAACATATATATATAAATAAATTATAATTTTAATATAATCTTTTAAATAGTTTTTTTTAAATAATTTTAATATATTATCTTAATATTATTAATGTTTTTAATTATTATTTTATTATGATTTTATTATATATAAATATTTATTAATATTAATTAATATTATTAAATAATAATAATATAAATTAATAAAGTTAAATTGTTGATAGGTACGTACGTAAATAGGAATAATAATAATAATGATAAAGTAATAATAAGTAAATTAATGGTATTAAAATTGGTATATTAAAATGTTTAAAGAGCAAAGAATTTATTTAAGGTTAGTTAAGTATAACGTATTTTTATATCTTAATAATAGTAAATATTTTATTTCTTCTTTCTTTATTAATAATAAGGATATTTTATTATTAATAAAATATTTTTATATTAATATTATATAACTATTATTTATTTTATTTTCTTTTTGTAATTAATTAATTGTAAAATATAATTAAATAAATGAAACCTTAAGATTTATACTAATATATATTTATGTTAATCTAGATATATACTATTATATATTTGTGATTTTATGTATTTATAATTGTATACACTTATAACGGTTAGAGGATAAAACCGTAATGGTTTAAATTAAGAGTTATTTTATAAATAAGGTTGCGTTAATATATATTATGCTATTTTATTTTTAGTATATCCCTTTTTATTTCTTGCGATAGCTTATGTTTGGATTGGTGTTAATAATTAACTTTAATAATTTGCTATTATATTAGCTTAATATTACTTTTTATTTTTTTATATTTTATTTACCTTTTTAAATGTAGATTAATTTGGTTATTTTTTATTAATGTTTTTATAATTTTATTTGGAAATGTTTTTATTATTATATTAGTTAAATTGTAGTTATTATATATTTATTAAATGTTATTAATTTCTTTATTTTTATATAATTATTAATTTTTTTTATTAATATTACTTATTTAAATAAAGTATTAGTATAATAAGAAAGAATTTATACATAAAATAAAAGAAATTATTAAGAAGTTTAATTAATTTAAAATAATATTAATAATATTATGGATAACGTAATTTATATTAAAACCTTATATTATTTTATAAATTTTATTAGCGAATATATTATATATAATATGTTTATATTTAATAAATAATTAATAAATAATATTATTAGTAAATTATATTTTATTATTATAATTTATAAATCTTTTATTATCAAATATTATAATATAATTAATTTAAAAATTTATATTTTTATTATTAATAAATAAATTATTTATAAAAATATATAAATATAAGTTTTAAAGGTTTAATTTTATATATTTAAGGCTTTAATTTTTATGGTTTATTTATTATTTAATTTTTACATTAAAGGTTTTAATTTCTTTTAATTTAAGTTTTATATATTACATTATTATAAAATAATTAAAAACTATTTTAAATTAATAAATAAATATAATGTAAACATCTTTTATATATTATTTTATAAATATTTTAATTATATTAAATATCTTTAGATTTAATTTTTTTAACTTTTTTATTTATTTTTTTATAGATTATAATTTATAATTTATTAAAATCTTCAATTATATTTAGTTTTAAAATTTTTTAAAGTTTTATTTTAATATTCATTTTTATAAGAACTTTATTTTCTTTAATTAGAAATTCCGTTATATTAATATTTAATATATTATTTATTTATAAATTTATAATTTTAAATAATTAATTTAATTTTATAATTAATAGATATAAATTAAATATTAATAAGATTATATTTAATTCTTTTTAATAATATTTAAAATAAATTTTAAATTAATATATATTTAATTTTATAAATTTATATAAAGGTTTAATTATTTATAATAACATTTTTTTAAAATATTTATTTTTTAATTTTAAAAATAAACGTATATATATTATCTTTTATATAAAGATTTTAAATTATATATATATTATAAT